AGAGCGGAAGTGGCTTCTTTGTGGTCCTTGAGGTCAGCTGCTGAACCACGGCGTCTGCGATGCCTTGGCTCACCAGATCCTCTTTGATGTCATTGACTGACATCTCTCTCGGAAGCCCACGAATGACCCTCTGGTCCATCCTGTCCTCCTTCAGTTGATATGTGAAGAAGGGCCGCTTGATGGATTCAAGCAGTGCGACTAGCTGACGGTAGTCAGCTGGTGTATTTGTGAATACCTTCACACTGGTACCCGCCGTCCTCGCTTTGGAGAATTGAATCCCCTTGCTGTTCATCATCCTACTCAAGGATGACCAATCAGCGGTGCCCTCGATGTTGATTGGCGGAACTCCTGTTCCTGCCATGGGGGCCTCGGTGGTCCTGGTTGCTCTAGGACCACTCTTCTTTGTGGCAGCTGGCATCTTTCGCTGCCTGGGTTCTTCTTCTTCTTCTTCGGAGGAAACTCGCACCCGCTTCCTCCGTCTGGTGGCGACACTGAAGTCGGTGTCGTCCGTCCTCTTCTCGGCTTCTTCTTCCTTCGGTCCTTCGGTCTGTTGAGTGCCCTCTTCTTGGGCGTCCATCTCGTCCGATGTCGCCTGGTGGTCCTCTTCCTCCTCTTCTCCTGTCTTCTTTGCGGCCTTCTTCTTGGCCCTGCGGAGCTTCCCGCTCAGGTCTTCAATCTCCTGTCTGGCCTGCAAGAATGCTTCTTGCAGGTTTCGCATCTGCTCTTCCAGCATGGCGAAAGCATCCTTCTTTTCTTTCAGCTGGTTAGCCAGCTTCTCAATTTTTGCCATCGTAGATGGCAAACAAACAATCTATCGCAATGAAAATTGCAATAAGATTGCTCAATATGTCCGGGTGGGTCGCAGTCGCACAAGTGTATGCTCGTGACGGCTGCTAGCTCGGAACTGAGGAGAGGTCCAAGGCTCCATAACGACAACTGGTAAAATAATGCTAGGATCTCACGAGTCAAACGGCACCCTCCCCACCTCTTTCTTAGACGGTGGCGGAGAGTACTACCCATCCCAAAAACGTCCGCCCTTTCAGCCGCACCCTGTAGAACTCTACTTTTTATGGCCATTAAATAAACGACATATGATGATGACATTGCTGACCCCGGTGTATAAAGTACATATTAAATTATGACAATATTAATATATTACATTATTTTGATATGTACTTTGGTACAGATCAACAGGGTGACAGAAACGTCAATAAAGAGCAATTTTCACATGTGTCCATTAATCTAATGATCAGAAAACTATCAGCATGAAAACGACAGGATAATTTTCAGTGTCTACGATAATCAATTATTGTGTCTGAAAAGGCCAAAAATTAGCAATTAACAGTACGAGTATAAGCGAAGATGAGAATAAAACTTAAGGATGGCAACATATTTCCAGGGTCTAAATATAAGTTACAAAATTTCGTTCTTCCTAATTAAAATAATTTAGACATGAGAATAGTATTATGTTGGCGCTAATAAAAATTAATTCAATCAAACAGGTTTATTGGACGATTTTACTGTAAGGCACGTCGCCACTAACCTAACATTCGTCATTTGTATGAAAAGGCGATGGATACAAACATACTGCCGTACTTAGGTGAAAGACAATAAAGTGTAAAAATGGAAGTCTGAGAAAATCAAGTTCTTTCGAACTAAAAAAGTGAATGAATATTTGTTAGTAGTTACATGACTTTATAGAGAATAATTTAAATGTGATTTCGGATCATAATAAATTGTTGTCAGGACCAAAAATGAATTATATCCCGTCTTTAGTTGTCGTAAATCAAAAAGCAGTAACGTGTGATTCACTGATTTTACACTTTGCAATTACAAATTTGCTTTTTCTCTAGTTTTCATAATCTATTTATATTATTATTTCAAAGGGAAAATGCAGTATTGCACAATTTGTTTTTATTTTAATATAATATATCTATATTGAAATCAATAATAATTCAATTCAATAATTAAATAATTACATTTAATAATGGCATTCATTATGTTAAGTTAAAAGGAGAATATTTTTCAAAATTATTCTTTTGGAGCAAAAGTAATTATTTATATCGATAGACACTTGTTCACAAATAAAAGAAATATTACATAAAAAACTAAATGAGTATACATCATTATTTTTTATAGATGGGTATAAAGGTGATACTTGTACCATACAGAGAATAATAGCAGTATAGTTTAAAAACTACTGCTCATGTTTGGCACAAGTTAGCCCTTCTAAGAAAAACGCTATCTCCGAATACGTATAACAGAAAATTAAATGACCTTCCTCCTCACCCTGACAGGATTTATTGCAATCCTGCGTGAATGACGATATTGGCCTTCATCATGCACAGTGCACGTGGCACAGAGCAGTGCGGAAGCGATTGCCGACTGTGATGTACGACCACCGACGCCGGCACTTGTCCATCGGGGGAACACGTCGCACGTATCGACTCCCGACTGTTGTAGACATTTATAAGTTTTAATAATATAATTTTTTCCGATTATGATCAGCATCGTCCGAAACGTAAAAAATCGAACACTGAGCGCTTTTTATTTGTTTTTCGTTTTTTCTCCGCCGCCACTGGACCGCTTTTCAAAAACTATAATGCTTTTTTGTCGTTGGCATAGTAGTAACCCTGATTAGTGGAGAGACAGACGGAAATGAGTGACATGGTTTTTCGTGATGTACATACATACCATATAACTTCGAAAAAACATACCATCTCAGTTTCGAAAACTTTCGCGATTACAATACTTCCCCGCCAATGAACTTTACTGCTTTTTACCCAAGTATGGCAGCTTACACCCTTGTATTAGAGTCTGTCAGTTTGTTCATCATTCTGGAATCCTTCACTCAAACAATACAAAAGAGAAAGAATAAAGTAAGAAATAGTTGCGTTTACCGGAACATTTGGCTACTCCAGCGATTTCCAACATTTGACATTATGTTTGCACAAATGAAATAAATGGAGGCGTGAATGTAGCAATGCCAATGTGACAACTGCATCTACTAAAGAAAGAAATGTCTAGCCATTGTTAAAATGAATAGATTAATGTTTATTTCCTATGAACAATTTTAGGATTCTGGTTAACTCGAAATAGGATTATTATGCAAGTTTTTAATTTTGTAAGCATGCTAAAGATTACAGTGTGTTAGCATAATATCAAATAAGAGATCAAGAGTACAAGGTACATAAATAGGTTTTTCGCCTCTGAAAACAACTCAAATTTCATGTTGATGGCATGTAGGAAATTAACAAATTGACACACAACACATGCAAAAAGAAAAATGAAAGTGTTGTGCCATTGCACTCACAATAAAAATAGATATTGCCATCTTATTATAATTTTGTATTTATTTGTTTCATATTTATTTTATTGTGAGCCTAGTGCTAATGATTGTATGGCAGTGTATATTATTATATTCGAATATGAGGAATTTTTGGATAAAATAAAAAAAGTTGAAAGTTTTAAAATCCATGTGTTCAGAAATATTTAAATGCGATCAACTTAAAATTTGGGTTATTCTTATAGACCCTGATCCTTTGTCGCTGTAGTAGTGTTTGTGAGGTTTTGTTACAGTTTTATGAACAATTTTGAGAATGTGTGGTAAAATAATGCAAGCTCTTCTGGTTAAATCTCGATGATACTCAATTCTGAACTGTGTAGTGTCAAAGTATACTTATATGTTCTCTTGTTAAAGAAGTTATAATATTATTGAAGCTGTGCTCAATACTTTAGAACTATCATCATCCAACTGCCACTCAAAATTTGAATGGTACTTACCATAAATCTTTAATTAGCCTGGAACTTTTGACTATTTTTGATGCACATTTTTTTAATCAGTCTTACAGGTAGTGAATTAATCTTGGAGTGTTGGTATCCCAAAGCACATATCATGCAGAGGTATAGAGGTATAGAAGTGTCATCTTTGGCATGGGCGCCCACAGAGGGGTGGTGGTACTGGTGGTCCCCATAAGAATTTGGTTGGCCTTTAATTTTTCCATATCTAGCATGGTTTTGTGTACAATATCGAGGATTTTACATTTGACGCCCTTACCGAAAATTTGATATCACCTGTTCTTACTGATACACTCTTGACAGTACACAAAAAGACAAAAATCTTCCTCTTCCTGATCACAATTGATGAGATTGCATTGGGGTAAATCTACTTTTTTTATAAGCACATTTTTTCAACAGAACTAACAAGATTGAATGGATTTATGAATTGCTGCTCATATAACTTCAACTTACTTTATATAAAAGACAGCAATAGAGGACTATCTCCCTGAAAGAAAGCTTGTAGCAACCCCATTAGTCTCACATATGAAAAACTGGAAATATTGGCCAATGGATGTTGACTGAATATACATACATATACAATGGTAATGAATACTGTGTGAAATTTAAATCTGATTTAAGACTGATGTATAAATATTTGATTTTCAAATTAAATGTTTACGATTATGATTTAAATTTTTATAATTGCATATATATATATATATATATATATCTGTCATTGAAGACTAAAAGTAATTTCTTTATTCAAAGCTGGGTAAATAATTGCAAATTTGTGGACAAATAGTTTTCTACTTATATTAACCTCTTGTTACCTAGCTGATCCTTGTGCATCATTAAAATAAATAAGCTCCTAGAGAAAGGATGTTGAATCCTACAAAATGTAAATAAATATCGATATTTCTGCTGTCCATTTGTGAAACAATGGATGTAAAAAAGATGTGAGAAGGCAGACACACCTCTAAAACCTAATGCTGGTATATCTTCTGTAGAGATATTAAAGAAGGTTTAAAGAGAAATAGAGAAATATCAACAGATAGGTTCTTGTCTATGCTTCTCTTTGGCACAAAGAAGTCCTCCACCTGCATGTCTCAGTAAAGTACAGAATTTAAAGCAAAGTTAAACAATGAAGTAGATTATGACCTCTAATATCCCAGAGTATGTATGGGGAATACTAAAAAGGGAGTTAAGTAGTAGATACCTACATCGTTCAACAGTGGCGAATCCTCGAATGTATCATTGGTTTCATCAATGACTGTAGTTATGCACCCTGCCTCATCCCCATAAAAACCTCCATTTATGTTTTCCCAATACATATCTCCATTTGGCCATAAGATTCCTCTTTTACATTTAGAGCATGTTCGCTTTGTATTATCATCTAACAAACAATGTTCATCATCTATGCCTGAGCATTCACATTTGTCCATTTGCTTTTTGAACATAAACATAGAATTTACTCTAGTGATATGAATGGACGAGAACTGCTATGATATGCACGCAACATGCTCCAAGCGTGTTTATTTTCGATATGGAGCAGATATCAAATACTTTTCAATTACAAAATCCATCATTTTATGTAATACACATTTTCATCCGGTTTTGTATTACCCCATGTTTACGTTTACACAAACTGAGTAACTAATCAAATTCAAGCGGATAACCAAATGGAAATGGTATTTACCATTTTGGGTTGGTATTTACCGATCCGTTCAAGCGAGTGTAGTTATCAGTTTGGTTATAAGATCCGTGACGTCACGAATCAGCTGTTATATGTCATAGTTATCACCGCAAAATTGTGGTATTTACCCAACTCAAAAGTAGTTTTATATTTCTGGTTATTATTTGAAATGTGACAAGTTAGAATTTTGCCGGGTATTGGATATTGTTATTGTACTTCAGCTTCATTTTTGAGAAAAATGATACAGGCTGACTTCAGTTTTACCATAAAGTGGAACACCTTATTAGTTATACTCATTACGGTTGTTGGGGACACTTTAAATATAGTTCCTATGCTTAACAAAGTATCCTGTGTAGCCATATACCACAAGAATATTAAAATATGGCCATATAAACTCACTAGATGATATCCACCTGTATACGGTTTTGCTAATTTCTTTTTTCATCATTTCTGCTGAATCAATAAATGTTTTCTTTGACATGCGGAAAAATTTAGAGAATTGAAAGTTATCATAGCTACAAAGCCATAGTTCCATCATTTAAAAAAAATCTGAAAAAAACATTTCTCCCATGAATATTATGAAAGGTTTCTTATTTAAACTTTAAATATACAGCTGTAGACGAAAAACCACCGATTATTAAGTGATAATAAAAATAAACAAATTATATACGCGCTTTTCTAAAATAAACAACTTGCAACAAACCGCGGTTCAAACCAACGCGTTCAAGCGATTCGAGTAACTGACGTCACCATCCCGTGTGTCATCTTGAACCATATTATAACCGCGGTACATAATACGGAAATTTTGGTTATCCGCTTGGAATTGATTACTGACTGTCTGACGTCGTGACGTCTTCCCGTCACACTAAAACCGGTCCCACACGATGTGGCGAATGCCGTACAACGCTGGTTACATGGTCATTCGCCACATCATTCGAACTCATGTCGGCAGCATAGGCTGCCATAACAACACTTTTTTCATATTGCTACTAACATTTTGTACGTTTCGCAGGTGAGTTATGGCTAGCCTAAGCATATGTATTTTAGTAAATTATAAATTATCAATTATGTTTCATTATGTATAATGTCCTGTTGCAATGCAAGACTAATTTTGACCTTATGTTACTACTATGAAAATGACGAAAAATCTCTGCAGTTTAAGAAAACAGATACAGCGGCGGCCGAGTTATCGTCGAAGAAAAAACAAAAAACGGTCAAACCTGGTTTTTCGATATTTCTGACGCTTCTGACAGACTTAAGTTTTGTTCGCTGAAGACAGATCTAACATTATTTTCTTTCTTTCTACTACTAGTTGTAAAGGTTCAAGCGCGACCCTGACATCGATAGTAGACGTTGGCGCCACCATGCGTCAAACGTCCGAGACAAAAAAGTTCATCATTGTAAACAACGTATACAACGCTGGAAGCATCGTGTGGGACAAGCATTTCACATGACATCGCAAATAGGGATGTTCCGATACACGAAAAGTATCGATACCATGTATCGATTCGTATTGTTTTAGGAAGTATCGATACGAAGTTGTTTTTTCTACAACCCTCAAAATAATGTTTAGTTTTCTCAACTGCATGACTAGATTGTTAAATACGTTCACTAATAAAAATAGGTGCACAACTTACATCTCCCACCTAAAGTCGATTTTACAACATACCTCCACAAATCACTTCCTTTAATAGAGATAATGCGGTGACATAAATATGATCCAGCATCCGTTCACAAACACAAAAGACCTAAATCAAATCCAACCGAATAACCAAAATTTCTGTGTTATGTACCGCGGTTATCATATAATTTAAGATGGCACACGGGTTAATGACGTCAGTTACTCGAATCGCTTGAACGCGTTGGTTTTTAACTGCGGTTTTTTTACAGATTGTTTATTTTAGAAAAGCGCGTATATAATTTCTGATTATTTTTATTATCACGTAATAATCGGTGCTTTTTCCTCTACAACAGTGTATGGAAAATTTTAAAAAGGAAACCTTTCATAATATTAATGGGAGAAATGTTTTCTTTTCAGAAAATAATTTTTAATGATGAAACCATAGCTTTGTAGCTATGATAACTTTCAATTCTCTAAACTTTGCCGCATGTCAAAGAAAACATGCATTGATTTATCAGAAATTATAGGAAAAACCGTATCCAGGTGGACATTATCCAGTGAGTTATATGGTCATATTTTAATATTCTTGTGGTATATGGGTACACAGGATACTTTGTTAAGTATATGAACTAGATTTAAAGTGTCCCAAACAACAGTAATGAGTATAACTAATTAGATGCTCTACTTTCTGCTACAACTGAAGTCAGCCTGTATCCAGTTTTCCAAAAATGAAGCTGAAGTACAAAAAAATATCCAATACCCGGCAAAATTCTAACTTGTCACAGTTCAAATAATAACCAGACATATAAAACTACTCCTGAGTTAGGTAAATATCACCATTTGGCGGTGATAACCATGACATATAACAGCTGATTCATGACGTCACGGAACTTATAACCAAACTCATAACCACACTCGCTTGAACGAATCGGTAAATACCAATTCAGAATGGTAAATACCATTTTCATTTGGTTATTCGCTTGAATCTGACTCTAGATTTTTTAACAATCTGTTCGTCTGAAACTATGATTTATTCTTTATTTCTTTACATTGACTGCTTTTTTCATATAATTTTCATTATCGCACAATCTATCTTTGGAATTTTTTGTTAAAGAGATTCGCTTTTTTGCCAATAAGAACCTCAGTAATTTTCGGGCAAAAGGTCCCTCTGATGAGTAGATGTCAAAACAAGTTCACAAATCACTTCTTACAGGAGGCATCATTACCACAATAATGTTTTGTTTTAAACTATACTCAATATAATGTATAAATGTTCAATCAGTCCTAAAAACACTAATCAAATTCAAGCGAATAACCAAATGAAAATGGTGTTTACCATTTTGGATTGTTATTTACCGATTTGTTCAAGCGAGTATGGTTATCAGTTTTATTATAAGATCCGTGACGTGATGAATCAGCGCTTATATGTCATAGTTGTTACCATAAAAATCAAATCCAAGCGAATAACCAAAATTTCTGTGTTATGTGCCGCGGTTATAAGTGATAATATGGTTCAAGATGACACACGGGTTGATGACGTCAGTTACACGAATCGCTTGAACGCGTTGGTTTTAACCGCGGTTTTGTTGCAAGTTGTTTATTTTAGAAAAGCGCGTATATAATCTCTGATTATTTTTATTATCAGTTAATAATCGGTGCTTTTTCGTCTACAACTGTATATGGAAAGTTTAAATAAGAAACCTTTCGTTATATTCATGGGAGAAATGTTTTTTTCAGATTTTCTTTTAATGATGGAACCATGGCTTTGTAGCTATGATAACTTTCAATTCTCTAAATTTTTCCTCATGTCAAAGAAAACATTATTGATTCAGCAGAAATGATGACAAAAGAAATTAGCAAAACCGTATACAGGTGGATATCATCTAGTGAGTTTATATGGCCATATTTTAATATTCTTGTGATATATGGCTACACAGGATACTTTGTTAAGCGTTGGAACTACATTTAAAGTGTCCCCAACAACCGTAATGAATATAACTAATAAGGTGGTCCACTTTATGGTAAAACTGAAGTCAGCCTGTATCATTTTTCTTAAAAATGAAGCTGAAGTACAATAACAATATCCAATACCCGGCAAAATTCTAACTTGCCACATTTCAAATAATAACCAGAAATATAAAACTACTCTTGAGTTGGGTAAATACCACAATTTCGCGGTGATAACTATGACATATAACAGCTGATTCGTGACGTCACGGATCTTATAACCAAACTGATAACTACACTCGCTTGAGCGGATTGGTAAATACCAACCCAAAATGGTAAATACCATTTCCATTTGGTTATCCGCTTGAATTTGATTAAAATTGTGGTATTTACCCAACTTAGGAGTAGTTTTATATTTCTGGTTATTATTTGAAATGTGACAATTTAGAATTTTGGCGGGTATTGGATATTTTTATTGTACTTCAGCTTCATTTTTGGGAAACTTGATGCAGGCTGACTTCAGTTTTCGCATAAAGTAGAGCACCTTATTAGTTGTAATCATTACTGTTGTTGGCGGCACTTTAAATCTAGTTCCCATGCTTAACAAAGTATCCTGTGTATCCATATACCACAAGAATATTAAAATATGGCCATTTAATTCACTGGATGATGTCCACCAGTATACGGTTTCGCTAATATCTTTTTTCATCGTTTTTCCATCATTTCTGCTAAATCAATAAATGTTTTCTTTGACATGCGGAAAACTTTAGAGAATTGAAATTTATCATAGCTACAAAACCATGGTTCCATCATTAAACAAATTTTTCTGAAAAGAAAAACATTTCTCCCATGAATATTATGAAAGGTTTCAAACTGTCCATACACCCTTGTAGACAAAAAAGTACCGATTATTAAGTGATAATAAAAATAATCAGAGATTATATACGCACTTTTCTAAAATAAACAACTTGCAACAAAATCGCGGTTAAAACCAACGCGTTCAAGCGATTCGTGTAACTGACGTCATCAACCCGTGTGTCATCTTGAACCATATTATAACTTATAACCGCGGCACATAACACAGAAATTTTGGTTATTCGCTTGGATTTGATTTATGAATATGAACCATTTTTAAGGAACTAAAATGGAAAAATGAAATCCCTAATGGCTTATTATAGAACGCATCTAAATAAATATATAAAGTCGTTGAAGTCTGGAGCAGGCAAGGACGATATTTAACAAACCGATTTTTGTGTATTTTGTGTATTGGACATTTTTATTTTTGTTCAAATAAAAAAGATGCAGCGAATAATTATTAGCCGCCATGTGATATAGCGCGACCGCCTCCTCCGTGATTCCCACGAAATTAATTACCGGTTCGTTCTAGATTATCCCAACATAGTGAAAATTTTTTTTATGTGGTCAAGCACTTCGTCATGGATGGAACACGAACTTTTATCGTGCAACGTGGACACGAATCTTCGCCTTCAAGTGTGGCCGTAGCATTACCATCAGTAAATAATAATTGTAAACACAATTCGCCTTTTGCAAATGGGGTAAGAATGGTGGGCGAGAGCACTTCTGAGGTTCTGAGTCAAGGCAACAGCGCTATGCCTTGTCCGAGCTAGAATTCTTCGTTTTGTGCACAGACGTTCTGTTGAGCAGATGGATACATATGGGTGAAGTAATCGACCAAACGTCACCTTTGCCAAATTATCAAAGGTCTAGCTGATCATGTGGTGTCATTAGCTACAGAAACCACGTCCCACTTCCTATTTATTAACATTAACAAGCAATGGAAGGGGGCAGGGAATTGTCTGGTGTTGATAAGTTGATTGATGGTTGATAACAGTTGATTAGTATTGCGACCAGTGTAGTGGTGGTGGCGGTTCGGCGACACAATTCTATGAATAAAAATAAAAACCTCAAGAAATATCTGAGTGATGCAGTGATGCTCGACAGTGATTCCCAGTCATAGTCCATGTTTGTTCACTGCCGCGAACGGATAAAGTGGTGATAACGGCAGTGTACACTTGTACACATTCTGTTGACTTTTTTATATATTGTGTCGACGAAGAAAGTGCAGAAAATTGCATTGTCTATGATTGCTGAACATTTAATTTTGTTACCTTTTGTCATTAGTAGTAGCAAAAACACTCAGACTAGAAATGTGTTGGTAATACCATAATTTCAGCCCATTTGGATCAAGAAAAAATCAATGAAAAATGAATTAATCGTTTGTTATTGACTTGATGAGTATAATGCTGAACCTTTGGATAATTTCTGCACTAGGCATTTTAAACGTTCGCGCTGAAGAATATATCCTTTGCGCGAATTCTGTGGGTTCTATCGCACATATTTCAGAGGATGGCGCCCCAGAAAACATACCCGCAGAGTCTTATCAGAAGTGCAAAAGCAAAAATAATGAAACTAGCAACTATTGCTACACTCTGTGGACAGAAGATCCTACCAAAAATGGTACCAGGGAAATATTGGGGCAAGGTATGTTTAATTGCTGTTAGTTCTTGTTTTCTAACATTTAGCGTGTGTTATGTTATCTCTTTACTATTTGTTGAATGTTTGACTGTAGGACCTTTGCTCATTAGTCACTGGCCTCTTGTTATGTTGTCAGTGGGTTATGCCATAGCTAGCACAGCATGTATATTGTACATAACGCATGGAATAAATGAGCACCATATGAGTATATGCATTGAATAACATGATTTAATGGTGCTCTGTGGCTGCCATAGTTCAACATATGTGAGGTGAACAACAATGAAGTAATTGGTGGGCCATTGAAAAAGTAATTTCTTATAAGAAAATGGATCGGTTAATTTGTGTGTGTCATTTCACTTTTTTGTGATCTGACTGAATAGTATTCTTGCACTATCCAGAACAAGGAACATCATGTTACCATACATTCTTGAAAAAAATTACACAGAAATTCTCTATTTATTTTGATGTGAACACCAAGCCAGGACTTTCAGAAATAATATCAAATCCAATAAGATCGATGAATAATTCAAGTGCTGCAGGAATGACTTCAATAATTTTTATTGTGTTATTTGTTTGGGATCTTTTCATCCAAACAGGGTGGCTGTAACTGAAGGGATATACCATTTAGATGGACAACATTTTTGTTGCTAAAAATAAAAAGTAACTGATAAAGAACAAAAACAAACACTACTCAAATATATGATAGAACATCTCAGGATGCAAACAAGGACAGAAGCATTGACTGAGGAAAAACAAGAAACAAAAAGAAATTAAAAGAGAAAAGGCAATTTAATGATTTTGAAGATGAGGTAATAGAGCTGCAAGCTAAATATATAGATGATTAAAGCAACAAAAAGAGCAAATCAATTAATGAAAATCTACAAATAAACACTTAGATCTATATGGAAGACATCAAAAAACTAAAGAGATAAGGGCTGTATTGTCAGTCGTTCCTACAATTGTAGGGCACCTTTATGGCCTCCTTGATTTTCATAGTTGTCTACTGTTCCATGTCAGTGCTTGAGGCCATGTTAAATATATTCATTTGCATCAAATTGTTCATGCTTTTGATTTATAGCAACTGTTATATAGCCAGAAATTTACTTTGATTCAAAAAGAAAACATAGCCTTACAGTAGGAGAGCGCTGACACTGACACAGAATAGTAGAGCTCTAGAAATATCCCAGCCCAGGATAGAAAAGCCCATGAAAATCAAGGAGGCCATAAAGGCTTCCTACAATTGTAGGAACGATTTATATCATGTATTGAAGTAACAATGGTAACATTTGAGTATTTAATGTATCTACAGTGTTTGCAAATTTCCAATATGTTTTCCATTTTTAGATTGCAGAAATTTTTGTAGGGTCCACTTCACACTACGGAGTGTCTGACATACTGACATGAAAAAAATCTATATCAAAGTTACTTCCCACGATTACTGTCAGGGAAGTATTGTAATCGCTAAAATTTTCAAAAATGAGATATTGTTTTTTGGATATTATATGACATGTACAACATGAAAAATCATGTCACTCATTTTTGTTGGTATGTATGTCTGCTACTCTTATAACTTGAGAAGTACTGCTCGGATTTCGATGAAATTTTTACACAATGTTACTACTATGCCAAGGAAGCAAAAGCTCTGAGTTTTAATGAATAAATCGTTCAAACTTCGTTTGTTTGACGTTTTCGAGGGTCCTGATCATTTCAGAAAAAAAATTGTGAGGGTTCATACTTGGGGTTGGGAGCTGTAGGGAGTAGGGGAGGGTGTATGAAATTTTTTTGATCTTAGTTTAATTATACTCTCCTAACCCCCGGTTATTCTATGTACCTATTAGCCACATTTCATACATCATAGATTTACTGTGCCTTTAATGATAAATGTTGTTTTTGATCTGCATATTCCTGCCTATGTAAGCCCATTGCCCAGCAAACCGGTCTGGCTTATATTTTTATCTGTACTGAAGCGCAAAATAAACATTCAATTCAGTTCAATCAACTTTATTGTAACAAGTGCCATACACTGTTACAAATGGCTAAAGTCTGTCCACTGACCATTCATACTTAACCATATCAAGCTTATTGCTATTTTAACCTAAAGAAAAATTATTAGTAATAGAAAAAATGTTATCGGCTAGTCAGCCTGAGTACCAATCCTAAGAGAAGAAAAAGAACTCAGACGGGCTTATAGAATTTAGACGGGAGAGAGAATAAAAAAAAATAAAAAACAATTAGGCATTTAAGAAACGGACCTTATAGTTTTTTTGGAGTAGATGCTAATAAAGGTTTGAATTAAGCAACTTCACCGCATTGTACGTGGAAAGGCGTTGAAATATGGCTGTCCCGTATTGTGGCAATGTGAGGTTGTTGCGCGTATTCAAATTGTGAATCAAATTCCTATAAACAAGCTTTTTCCTAAAGTAAGAGGGAATATAGGTTTTTAATTTGAACCTATTTGACCAATTCATGGAGACTATTGAGTGAGAAATGTGATAATTCCTCCTTAATAATAATAATAATAAAAAATCTTTATTGCAAAATAACAGTGCATGATTACAATGTATTACACACTGTTAGGTGAAATATACATCACAGTGTCATCAAGACAGAAAAAACAAAGAGGCAAATCATATAACATAATAGAGATATTACATTTCAAAATATTCTTGAAGGTCATATGGTTGTAAGTGCATTAACAATTGATAAATACTCTTTTTATATTCCTTTATATCTGCCAACCTTTTAATTTCTTGTGGTAACTTATTATATATTTTAGTGCAGCTGTAATGGAAATTTTTTTCGGTAACCATGAGCTGATTGACTGGATACAGAAGATTTATATTTCTATTTCTTGTGTTATAGTCACTTTGTGGGTTACCGATAAAATTGTCAATATTTTTAAATGTAAAAATTAGAATCTCTTGAATATCTATTGCGGCTACAAGTTAAAATTTAATCACTCTTAAATTTTCTTCTAGTGTCTCTAGAGGAAATTTTTAGGATGCACCTCAGCATTCGCTTTTGCACTAGAAAGATCCTATTGGTATGGCTACTATGTCCGAAAAAAATTATTCCAAATAGTACAATGGACTCAAAATTCGCGTAATATACCATTTTTAGAGTCTTGAGGTCTAGGTACTTGCTTAGTACTCTAATACTATAACATGCATTGTTTAACCTGTTTTCTAGATGTTCTATATGTTTAGCCCAGGAAAGTGTTTGGTCAATATGAACTCGCAAGAATTTTCCAAATTGTTTATGTAGTGGGAGCATGCATTTTGAATTTCTTGAAGCCTGTAGTTTGTTATTTTCTCCAGACAGGGACAATAATGTTGCAGTAAGCTATTTTACTCATTACATACACAGACCTTGCACGAAATGGAAGATATAATTTCCTAGAAGAAAAACTGAAAACAGGGAAGTTTTCTGCCTTCCCCCTTAGTATTTTGATCTCGACAGATCAAGGAATAAAAACTACACGAATTAATTGGTCTGAGCGACGATTTTCATGCTAATATTTTTAGAATATAGGACTTAACTCTGGGAAAATTCTAAAGTACTTTTAAAGAAGTAAACAATGTCCTTTAAAGTTGCCTCAGTGAGAATAGATACTTGTATCAGATCTGTGCCTATCACTTTGCATAAAACATTCATTCATAATGTAATAGCCACTCAAAACAAATCATATACAGAACACTTGCTTGCATCTATTTACTGTCCTTCTGCATCAACAGATGGCTGTAAGAAAAACTACAATTTGAGCTTAATGTTTTTCAAGTGGTCTGGAGAATGATGACATAATATTATTTTATAACCATGTCTGCTGTGTGCCTAAGTGCCTCTTATTGATTGTGAACGCATACATAAATCATAACTTGTCTTATTTTAACAAAGTACATGTCAAACTTTTCAAACTCGTTGCTAGAGTATGGTTATGGTTTTAAGATTTCTAATGTCATTTTTTATGATTTAAAAATAAACATGCATCTAAAACTCAGAAGGTGATTTCGTGGGTTGTTTTAAAATAGTTTTGCCCTTTGGCTCATTATTCATAATCCCTACTTGCAGTTAGGCATGCAAAACTCCAGTCGTTTTTCCATGAGAAATTGGTTTGGCGTATTTAACCATTTAATGTGGAACTAGTCCGACAGTTGCAGATAACATTTTTTTCTGACCGCTGGACAAACAATATGCGGTGACGGTGGAATTCATTCAAACATCGAAAAAACATGTATCTTTACAGTACATCACTATTTGTTTCATGTATTTTTGACCTGTCCTTTAAAAAACTACCGACGCGACCCGACCGAAATTTATGTTGTAGTTGTTTGTTGTTGATCTGTGGATGTGTATTGGTTGATTTATTGGCTATGACAATATCGAAATGGTAGTAGACCTTAAAACTGATAAGAAACAACGCTAAAATGGCGGCAAGTAGAAAATACCGCACTGGTTTCCTAAGTAACATGATGTACCACGATATTATGATATAGATGAAACGGTCGCGGTACTATTGGAAAACGGGAAACGGCGTTTCTTATCGCTTAAACCAAAGACTACTCATACACATACTTTTTTGTCAGAGCGTATATTAGTCTAACGGCAGTAATATTCGTTTGATTACCACTGAGCTTATATAATATTGACCTTTATGGCTGGCCAAGTAAGGCGTGAAATCTGTATTTTCATGGAAGGAACGCGTGGGTACAATATGTTCTCGTTCATTTATCTACTCTGTTCATCTGTTAAGTTTTCAAAATTAACATTACAATGTTGAAGAGTTCACATCTTGACCTACAGGGAAATGCAATTGTGTCAAGCTGTAGGTTAGTGCGTTAGGTTTTAAAGTTTACTTAACACATACGGAGGTTGTTTCAAAAATATGGTTTCCACATTTTTTCACGAACAAGGAATCTTTGATTTGAAAAAACGAATTCAGCATGGGAAACGTTGATCTTTAAGCTATTTTTCTCCATAGTCGCCATTTCATCTAGCCATTTTTTTAGGCGTGAAATCCGCTTTTGAACTCGCACCTCAAAGAAGTCCGCCGCCAACCCGTTTAGAAACTTGGTAACTGGTCCTTGCAACTCTTTGTCCGTCTCGAACCGTTGACGCCTAGGTGCTCCTTCAATTTCGGAAACGCTTGTCGGGGCCAAGGCTAAGGGGGATGGGCAATGAGTTCCCAGCCAAATCGCTCGATTAAGGCCTTCGTTTGTTTTGAGACATAATGATGCGCATTGTCTTACGCTTTGATGAGTTTTCCTCTACGACGATTTTCGATTGCCCGTCTCAGCTTTTTCAGAAACCTCAGCAATTTCAACCGGCTGTTCCCGGATCGTGATTAGCCGAGATCTTCGAGCAAGATTTGCTCAATCTTCGCCATAACTCCCTTGAATGCTTATACACGTTTCCCCATATACTTTACTCAAGTAGCGATGAATTTCTATGGGTGGTAACGTTTTTGCGTGCAAAAATTGGATGACAGCACGAATTTAGCACCCGGCGATGAAGGCGATAAAGGGCTTCATTGCGCATAGCTATCGGGCCGGTACTGAGCATCGTAAATAGGCGCTTCTTATAGGGATCGGTGGTGGGGGAGCCGACAAATACGACAGTGTTGCCAGATTTCGCCTAGCATCACGCGTGGCAAAGATACAGAGTTGGGAACCTTATTTTGAGATGACCCTGGTATGTACACCACCTGAGGGTATCTAACTAAATTTGCTTGAGGCATTTTGTTTTTAGAGCTTTTGCATTATGTACACACCATTGTACATAAGTAACATATGCAGTTTCTTGAAATTACAATATGTTATGTGATGATTTTGACAGCACCTGGCAAAATCTTTGCAAACGTTGAGTTGTTATAACAAAAGCTATTTCATAACATTCAACTGCTTGAAGGATCACATACCATTCTTATGGGGGAAAGTGATCCGGGGAATTTGTTCCTAACTTTGATGATGTGTTCTTCATGTTATTCTGATCACATGTTCTCATTACACCAACTCGATTGAAGTGAAGAAGGTTTTAGGTTGGGCATGTATGCCTTATAAAGTGATACTGAAAAATCTGTTCTTTTTGGCGAAGCACATACCTTATGATTTGGATGCGGTAATTACTTCAAAACTGGATCAAAATAATTGTTATTGCAAGCCGTAACAAAATTTACTCTCATTTTGCTTCTTACTTCCTTTCAGAGTCGGAGAAATATCCCATAAGGGGATGTCTTTCTTCAAAGGCACTATGATACGAGAATGACGATGTGATAAAATTTTGTCATTTGAGCTCTTCTTAGTTCGTTCTTTGTAATTTATCCTAAATATAATGTGGAACTAAATCTATGTGGTAAAATTTTTCAGATATTAGACTTAACAGAGGTACTATACTATTCTGAGAATGAAATGTCAAACAGATTTTAACGTGTTTTTTGGTCACCCTCCCTATAGGGGTTGATTTTTTATTAAACTCTATGGCAGATAACATAGGTTGAGCACAAGTCAGTCGAATACTTACTTCTGAATACAGGAAATAAAACACAGCTCTTGAACATTCAGGTAAATACCAAATCTTGAATTTTCTGATTCTGAAAAAATGCTTGGTGTTGTTTTTGATACAAAATTAAGCTTTATTGAACATGTTAAGTCTTTCCCCGAAAACCTACCTACCGCTACGTACTCTTAGAGCAAACAGGTATTTCCTAAATTTTAAATTGCGTAAAAAACTGTGTGTAGCATTGGTCATATTTATACTAAATTATTGTAATACCGTATACTACACTTGTTTAGACAATTTCACTAAAAACGTTATTCAAGTTATTCAAAACAATTACGTTTCATCTTTGACTTACGTAAATTTGATCATGTATCAGCGAAATATCCCGTTGTAAACTGGTTAAAAATTGACATGGTCAAGTATCACTATTCAGTTTTTGTTTACAAGTTGCTGCTCACGTCTAAACCCTCTTACTTGAGGGAAAAAATTTCATTTAATAATGATGTTCACTGTAGAACTCTCAGAGAAAATAATATTAGAATACCACAGCATACGTGTACAATTTTTAAGCACGGTTTTTCCTACAATGTTACTATTATTTATAATGACATTCCTAATGTATATAAAGAATTTTCATTACCTGTCTTTCGACAAAAAGTTAAAATGACTCAACCCTCCAAACATATAATTTACGTAATCATGCATTTCTTTTTTATTTAAAACTGATACCTATTCATTTATTTATTTATTTAATAACAATAACATCCAACAAAGACCATATACAAAAATTATAAATACACAAATATATAACACAACAATATAATTCCTCTTCATCAAGGACATCCTGATGACAGAAAGATGCACCTAGATGGTTCCAACCACCTGTATGTGCTTTCATCATCCGGACTTACAAATGAAAAGAAAATGCTATTTATTGGATTATAAAATACAATAAAAAAAACATGAAAAAAAAATCAACCTCAATATCCTGAACAATAGTTAATCATACTATGAAACAAAAAATCATTAGTAAAACCTTTCAAATTGTGCAGCATTGTCAAAAATATATTCTCTGCAGCTGGTGCTAAATGTTTTAATATGTTTCACCTTTTTCAAGTGTTCTGGCAGAATGTTATATATATCTTTGGTCCGATATACGTTATGTATCTTAAGTTTAGGTTATTGTTATTCTTGGGAATTTCTATTTGCCTGCCCACATTTGCACGAGTACAGTAGTTATGACTTACTTGTTTCTGTAGTTTTCATCATGTACAAGAATCTAATATTACACACATCCTTTGTAAAAAGTTGATTAGTGGGGAATCTTTTATCTTTCTTAAAAATAATTTTAATAATATATTTCCGAATAATAATGAGTTTATGTAGAGCATTATTATACAATCCCCCCCCCCATACTAATATCCCATATCTAATTATAGATTCAACAAATGCTTTATAAACTGTTATTAACTTTTTTTTATCGAGAAAGTCACTCAGTAGATAAAATTATGGATTAATTTTCTAACTCTACTCGATACATAATTAACATGCTGCTGCTACTTTAAATGCTGGTCAATAATGATTCTAAGATATTTAGTTTGAGACACTTCTTTAACAGAATAATTATCATCCAACATAATAGTGCAGTAATTTGGTCTGTTTGTCTTAAACATTCAATGTTAGTTTACTCTCTTGTAACCAGTATTTTACCATACCTAGACCATACACTGTTTTACACTTTACATCCTCCCAACTAGAACCTGCAAAAATAAGTACAGTATCGTCAGCATAAGAAATAGTTAAACCCCATGTCCAGCTTTAGCATCTTATTTATATAAATTATTATCTTTATTATTTTTTTTATTGCTTGTTATGTTATTTAGTTTTAGCAGTTGTGGTCTGTTTGAAAGATAATCCCTCAGTAAATCATAAGCCACTCCCCATATACCATTGCTGTGAAGAATTTTGATTAGCTTATCATGAGGAACCGTGTCGAAAGCCTTAGCAAGGTCCAAAAAAACAGCAATACTCTCGTTGCCATTATTCAGATTATTGAAAATCTCAGTTATTAATTTCTGCAAAGCATCCACTGCACTGTAACCCTCCAGAAACCCGAATTGATTATCTGATAATACATTATTAGCTTTAAAAAAATCCATTAATCGAGTTTTAAGACATTTTTCAAATAACTTTGCAAAATTTGTTATTAAACGTATAGGCCTGTAATTTCCAATAGATGTAGTATCCCCTGATTTATGTATCGGGATAACTATTGACGTTTTAAACTCTTTCGGAACAATTCCAGTTACCAAAATTAAATTGTAAATATGTAATAAAGGTGTTAAAATTTCAAAATGAGTCTGCTTTATAGTTTCCACCTGTATGCCATCATAGCCAGGAGCACTATTACTTTTCAAAGATGCAATATGTTTTATTAGTTCATTCCTTGTAATGGGACTTAATAAAATAGAATTCTGGACGGGGTGCGCTAATTTACACTCAGATTGAGGAGTGGGAATTGTCCGCGCCTTGTTAAAACCCACATCAATAAAATATTCATTACAAAAATTTACCATTTCAATAGAATCAGTAAACTGGTTGCCATCATTCCTTCTTTAATTCAGGATAATAATTTTTGGTGTAACTGGTTTTCGAAAGTATGCCTTTTTATTTTTATTTTTTACTTTCGATGCAATGAACCAAATCTGTTTGTGGATAGTGTATACTTTTCAACATCCATTCGACATCCATATGGTTAAGTGTTAAGATGCTAAACTTCACCCTGTAAGTCTGTCAATTGGCTATACTACAATGTAATTGTGGATAAATATATTATTCTTATTAATATTATCATAGTCATTGTGGTATAATAGTGCTTTTCAATAAATACCCCCTCGTAAGTGATATTTCCCCCACTTTGAAGGGTAGTAACAATTCTTCTATTTGCTTACCTAAGAAAGAACGTTTTTTGTATCGCTTCAAATTGAGTTAATGCAATAATAACATGACCAGCATTACTTTCAGAACCTAATCTTAAAGTTTGGAGCAAATCCACCGGAATGACTTTACTCATTAGAATGGTAGATGGTTCTTTAGACATTAGCTACTGCAATTTTCGTGGAAGTTTAATTTTATCCGTAGAACTCTCTATTCGATATATTAGTTATGAATTCGTTCATTGGAATCATGTTCTAGTTTTCACATTTTTATTTACAGGTTGTTGGGAACAATCCGGAAAACCGAATGAATGCGATCGCTCAGAATGCTTGGCGGACAAGAAACCACCAAAAGCTATGAACCACACTAAATTCTGTTGTTGCTCACTAAGTCGGTAAGCGCCCTGGCGTCCTGGTTTAATCTGTGCGTCTTCTTAATATTAGTTATTTTATTTATTGCAAATACAACATTCAAATTGGGATTTTTTTGGAGAAAAAAGTAGGATATTATTGTTGAGACAGTACGTCATTATTTTACGAAATACGTGTTTTTTTTTTAGTTATATCAATCCATATCTCTTCTCTACATTTTATCATCATACAAATAAATGTGCAATTTTTCGCTTTTCTGTTCAAAACAGACTGATAACCATATGTAAAATCTTTTGAATAATCAGAGACTGAACTTCAACAGCCTGTAAAATATTAACTATAGACGACAAAGAATGCAAATAACATTTGTAGGGGTATCACAAAGGACAAAGAAGATATATAAGATTGCCAATTACGTATCTAATTAACGTTGAAGTAAGAATGAATCCACATATTTGGGGGGATTATCGACATGAAACTTCAGGATGAGTTTCACATGTTACTTTAAATTGGTTGAACGTACGGTGTAGTTATGTCACACTCTTTACAAGATACTTCAGTACATCAGACGTCTAAGTGCCCCTTTATGTTAATTCTGTACAGTTAGAACTAATGAATCTGTTCAGTTACTAATCAGAACTTTTTTCATCAAATATCAATATTTTATGAAAATAGTTTGATCGAATAAAGCGTATTTAATTTTTAGCTGAAATGTAGTCATGATGATTAGCAGCTAAATCTATTGGTGGTATTGGTTGGTGTTTGTATACCGAAACTTTTCTAATGTTAATGATAACAAATTATTATTTAAAAATGTGCTAGGATGTACGAAGCTGTATGACATACATTAGCCTAGCCTAAGATATTTGACAGTATGAGGTATTTACTCGTGGAATGTAACTTAATGACAAGCAAAATGTTTACTAGAAAATTTTTATAACACATCTAAATAAAAGCGTCCTGAGAAAGTACGATATGAATCCGTAGCGTGTAGAAAACCACAAAATATGAACCTGTCTACCTGGTGTTGACGGACCGTGTAGTGAAGTACTTTAATACTACGAGCGCTAGCTGAACGTCTTTCTCTGTTAATGAACCTTTCTATACATATGAACTACATTTGAGCAAGAATAAATACTGTTAAATTCCAGAAGTAAAGGCACTTTTTCAATTTGCAGATGCAACGTAAACTTCACCGACGCCTACGTGCCCGACGATGACCAAGTACCCGTGCTGGACATCTCTTCGTACCAACACGGCTCGCTGGAACAACAGCCGGTGCTGTACGTTGCCGTGGCGGTACTGTTTTCCGCTTTTGTGGCGGGAATGGCGGCCGCACTTTACCTATGTTGGAGGATGAGGCCGCCCAAAAAGGGCGGAGATACGGAAGCGGGTGGCGGGCATCAGCAAGTACCGCCCCCCGAGGATTACAGTTTGGATCGGTTGAAGTTGCTTGACGTTATAGGTGAGTGTTTATGATTATTGTGAAATTTCGATTTATTCAATTCGATTCCCTTTATTGTAAACAAATACATACAGTAGTACCAAAGTTACAAACGGCGAAGTCTGGCCAATGGCCATTCATACCTAACCGTGTCGTGAGCTTATTGCTACCTTACCTAAAACTTAGCCTAAAGGAAAATAATCAGTAATAGAAAAGTGTTATCCAAAAGTATATCGCCTAGTCAGCCTTTGTATTAATCCTACGGATCAGGAACAGACATATATATATATATATATTTTGAGACGTGGTCATTGTCGTCTAGACCAGTTAGGTGAAAAATTAAAGCTTCCGCCTTTTGTTGGGTACTTCGACAAGATTTAAGCAAAGAGGACTCTTTATACTTTTTTTTTTAATTCTCTCTAGCTTTCAATGGACTTTGCCATCATCATCAGGAGAGTAGTATGTGAGGATGTTGCTAATTGTTGTTTACGTATAGGATGAGGGAAACGTCCAGTAACATGGTGAGAGCTGGATAGATTGTACAATGGTCAAAATTATATAAAATTTGACAAGAACAAGTTAAAAACAGATTAAAAATTATTTAAAAAACATTAGAGCATTACATCGTGAAGCCACTTGATGATTGCACAAATTAGTGGTCATGGAGTTCCAATCATCAAGTGGCTTCACGATGTAATGCTCTAATGTTTTTTAAATAATTTTTAATCTGTTTTTAACTTGTTCTTGTCATATTTTATATAATTTTGACCATTGTACAATCTATCCAGCTCTCACCATGTTACTGGACGTTTCCCTCATCCTATACGTAAACAACAATTAGCAACATCCTCACATACTACTCTCCTGATGATGATGGCAAAGTCCATTGAAAGCTAGAGAGAATTAAAAAAAAAGTATAAAGAGTCCTCTTTGCTTAAATCTTGTCGAAGTACCCTATATATATATATATATATATATATATATAATTTAAACTGGAGAAAGAGAGAGAGAGAGAGAGAGAGGAGAGAGAAAAACAAGCATTCGATAAACAGATCATTCATGATGTCTATTAACTGTTAATTCGCACCAGAGTAACAAATGCAAACGAGCAGTATAAACTCGGTCTTCCATGGTATGGTGTGTGGTCGTGACGGCTGACGGATTATTGCTTCTAGACAAGAACTTTATCAAGAAAACTGCATGGATATACAGGATATCGCAATTTTGACAGCTTGTCTGACCGTACATCCATTATTTGAACTGTGACGGGTGGAGTAGTTAATTTTGTAACAAAAAACTTTAATAACCCTCATTTTGATGCTAGACAGAACATAATACGATTTTTGGATTTCTGGATTAATCAGTGCAGGGTGGCCAGAAATGTAAAATATACTTTTCCTAAATATGCACTCTTTGTACGCTTTTTGCTGATTTAAGGGTCAACGGTATTTATGTAAGGCGTTTTACTTCATTCGCATAAGAGAGAGGAAATATTGTGATCAGTATTTTAATGTTTTGTAACGTTTACATTACAAAAATCGTATGTCACTCGTTTCCGTCGATCTGCATGTCAGTCTGTCTGTTGCCAATTTTCAACCTGCGTAATCTCGGAAACGGTCACACCAACTTTGATAGAATTTTGGAAGTTATAGATAGATAAATATGCTTTATTGTCTGAAGAATTCCATCATTCTTTATGACAAAGCTAACTTAAAACTAAACTGTAACATAATTACATAAGTGGATCTTAAGTAGGTGCATTGTAGAAGACATACAAGGTATAATATGGTTTACATATTACAAAGTTTTCAAGTTCACGGCGGAATATATTTAAATTTTTAAATCCTTTGATAACATCAGGGAGATACATGCAAATTTTCAAACATTATTATTGAGTCTTTCACAGTTGTTTCACGAACTACTAATCCAAGATCTTATTTTCGTCTAATATTGTAACTGATATTTAATGTTTCAAATTTAGATTTATTTTAAAAAATCAGAGTTGCTGTTTCTAAAATGAACAATGGTGCAACAGTCATTATTTTAAGATTCAGAATTAAAGGTCTGCACGTATATCTAGGATTATACCATTTTGCTCTATTAATTTTTTCTTCTTGATAAGTGGTTCTAACATCTATATATTTTTCTAATTGGAAGACTTCACGATTACGGATGTCAACCCATCATTTTCTTGAATGCTAACACCTACAAAATAACTTGTATATATAATAATTGGCTATTATAATAATTACGAAAGAAAAGAGACTTATTTTTTAGTAATTCGAATAATAGAACACGAAAACTAAATATGTTTTATCGAACTGTATGTAACATTTACATCACTTGAAATGATGCATCTTTTATAGGCCAAGGAATGTATGGTAGTGTTTGGAGAGGCCAGATTGACGACCAGGTTATCGCAGTCAAACGTTTTCCTGCACATCACAAAAATTATTTTCTTAATGAGCATGAAATGTACAAGGTAGGTCATTTCTAATCATTATTGAATTGGTTTTCCTCTAATATCTGAGACGTACATTGTTCATTATTTTTCCTGCTTTCAGGCATCTGGGGACCATCCAGCACTTCTGAAATGCTACGGTGGAGGAGAATATTCTATGGAACCTGGGGCACCAACTGATTATCTTTTATTGCTGAGCTTAGAGCAAGAATGTTTGCAAGATTATTTGCGGGAACATGTTCTGGACCTTACTACATTAAGCAAAATGTGTTTAGGTGAATATGGATTGCATTCATTTTAATCTTACATTTTGATTTTTCGAACATTTCAGATCATTTTATATTCAGTTACGTCAGTTGAATCAAAAATCAAGGGTTTTAATTTTGTTTCGTCATCTAATTGTTCACTTTGTAAAAATATTTGTTCATTTTGATAGGTATCGCAAAAGGGCTGGCCCATTTGCACTCTGATTTGGGTAAACCCTGCATCTCGCATAGGGACATAAACACAAGGAATATTTTAGTTAGAGCCGACTTAACATGCTGTATTTGTGATCTTGGATTGGCCGTCATACCAAAGAGAGCCGAAAACAAGTCAATTAGCGAGGCAGGTATGTGTATAGTCGGTTCATTTTTTTAATAAAAATTTTCACTTTAAATTAGGATGTATCCACTATTCACTAAAATTAAAAAACAGCGTCAAGTAGATTGACTCTACACTTTTCTCGCAACGCCGCCATAAAGGGCACAAGTTAGATCCTCTGAGAAAAAAATTAGTTACGATCATGTATAACAGAGAAATTAAACGCACCAAGTCAGTCAAACACGCCGAACAGTTAGTCCATGCCCTACCGGTAGTACTGTCCATCTATCCAACGTCGCTCCTTCCCCATCCTGACCGCGGCAGTAATTACACTCAACGGTACCGGCACCAGTATTACGTATCTTAAAAAATGACATTTCATTGGTTTTTTAGTAGTTTCTTTATGACATAATGTAGGGCGTTCTACATGATGTTAACTTAGCACAAGCTGTTGTACACGTGTTGTGAACTCGTTTAGTAATTGCACGCGTTGTTTCTCGCGGATCCCACGATCACCGCGATCATCTCATGAGGTAACCGGGGGATGAAAAGGAAACGTCAGTGAGCTGGTCTTAGACGGTCCTCGGCACTACTTTAAAAAAGGAAAGGATGACTGCGGCCGCGTACTGGGGTAAATTTCCATAATTACAGCGTCGGATTTCGATTGGTGATCTAGCCCTAATAATCCTCATTATAAGAATCCGAATTTATATTTCCTACTGTTGCCAGTTGCAGATGCGTTGGCTCTCGGTGTCAAACCTATAACGCAGGTACCGATTTGTTCAAATCGTGAGCACGTTATTCGTCGGATTTTTGTCACTTAAATTTCCTGTAATTACGGGGATCGAAAGCTTCTTAATAGTAGAACCTGTTTCACATATCAAAGATGCAACATTTAATATCACCTTCCTGTAACCACCACTTTTTAAGCACTACAATTTTTTATGACAATGATTAGGAACCCTGAAACGTCAAAAACAGAGTTTCAGTGATTGTTATTTTGTTCGTTTTTTTTGCCTATAGCTCCGCCGCCACTGGAATGAAACTACAAAGCTTTGGCATAGTAGTAACCTTGGGGCGAAATTTTATAAAAATCTGAGCGGTAATTTCAACCCACCAGACATCTTGTGCGAAAACAAAATTTCAAAAAGTGCTCCGATAGCACCCTTGTCTTTTGAACATACTGTATGAATTTAATGAAAAAGGTGATCATTAGGTTTTTTTAGATAATACCTCTGCCAGACCCCGGCGGGTGACCCCAGGGAGCAGAGACGTGTATCGAAGACATTTCTCTATATGTATCTCTTTTCTTTTAAGGACAAATATACGGGGAAATCTATGATGAATTAAATATATGTAATAGGTACGTTTAAATACCGGGGTTTTCGCGCATATAAATATAATTACATCAAACAATTGAGATATGTTTAACCACACAAAAAGTGTCTCAAAATGATCAGGATCCTGCGAAACGTCATAAAACGAAGTTTGAGCGATTTTTTTTTCATCTTTTATCTCGTAGGTCCGCCGCTTCTGAACCGCTTTTCATAAACTACAAAGCTTTTTCGTCCTTGGCATAGTAATAGAATTTATCGTGACGTACATGTTATGTGACATCCAAAGAGCATTACCTCATTTTCTATTTGTTTCATGATTACAATACGAGGTGTGTCCGAAAAGTATCCGACTTGTGTTCATATATTCGCGCCTTAGCGCCCGAGCCGTCTCTGAGAGGTATGAGTGTAACCAGTAGTCCCTCTCGAACTCTCTGAATGCCGAAGTTACCGGCCGGACGCCTTGGGTCGCGCGCAGCGTGTGTATGTTCAACGTGTTTTATTTTCGTTTGTCGCATTTATTTACTGTTGAAAATTACAGAAAGAATAGATCAACGAATTTGCATCAAGTTTTGCTTGAATCTCGGCAAGAGTTGTGTGTAGTCGATTCAAATGATACAGTAGGCACTTGGGGGCGAAAGTATGGGCAGAACACAGATCAAGGAGTGGAACGGGCGGTTTAAAAATGATCCCGAATCAGTGACCCTCGTTCTGGCCGACCTTCGCTGACAACAACACCGGAAAAATCGAGGTTGTGCGACTTTCGATTGAAGGTAATAGTCGATTGACTGTTCGTGAACTAGAAAACGATCTCGGAATACAGAAAACTAATGTCTGAGAAATTTTGAATCAGATTTTGGGAATGACTCGCGTCTGTGCGAAATTCATTCCAAAATTGCTCACAGCCGAGCAGAAAGACCTTCGCTCTGAAATCGATCAGGACAATTTTTCTCCAAGAGGGCAGATGATCAACAAAGAATATTACGTCAAAGCTCTGAAAAGATTGGGTAATGCCGAGAGAAGAAAACGACCGCGTTTCTGGTCAAGTGGTGACTGGCTTCTTCACCACGATAACGCGCCTGCGCATTCATGGATCCTTGTGCAGCAATTTTTGACATAACACAAGATTTTGCAGCTTTAACATCCATCGTATAGGCCCGACATAGCTCTCTGCGACGAAGGAAAGTGGTTCGTCGACAACGAAGCGATTCGGAGTAATGCGGCGCGCAAGCAAGTCCATTCCAACATTTACGTTCGAAGATACGAAAGCACCGCTGGGAACGCGTGGTGTAATAAAACGGAGACTACTTCGAATGATGTCATGGCCCGGATAACGAAGATTAGCACCAATGCGGAGATATGAACGCAGGTCGGTTACTTCCTTGCCAGAGGCGTGAGAAGTAAAAGATTCCATAAGTACTAAAAGTGAAGCCGAGTACTTTGACTCGTTACTGCCCGTGCCATGATGATACTACCTCTCTTGCAGGAACCCTTAATACATTATTTTAAAAAGAAGTAGAATGCTATCGAATATATGAAAATTAAGAGCTTCAGCATTTTGTAAAGCGTAGGCCATCTTGACAGAAGTGTACTCACACCCAAAACAAATGAAAACTCGACGGGAATAAAAGAAAAAGTTAGAAAGATTTCTATAATCATTGTTTATATTTTGAGTTTTGATAATCTAGTGTTTAATGTAAATTGTACTAAATAACTTTATGTTGACAGGTACCCTGCGCTACATGGCGCCTGAAGTGTTAGAAGGTGCAGTCAACCTTCGTGACTGTGAATCTGCTTTGAAGCAAATAGATGTTTACGCACTTGGCCTGGTAAGTAGTAACATTGTGAATGCAATATTTCTCTGCTAACATCGTCACTAATTATTTTTCATGTTATACAGGTACTTTGGGAAGCGGGTAGTCGATGTTCGTGCTCTCAACGGGGCGAACCTCCGGCATATGCTCCTCCATTCCATAGAGAAGCCGGCGATTCGCCCACATTAGAAAAGATGCAAGCGTTAGTAAGTAGAAGGAAAGCCAGGCCTCTTTGGCCGCCAGGCTGGAGACACGATTCCGCTGCAGCTAGAGTGATAGCCGAGACTGCAGAAGATTGTTGGGACCAGGTACATAATAGCAATATATTATATAGAAGTCGAAGAATATTTAGCCAAATTTCAACAAGTTTACATGGCATGTTAAAATAAAAGTAGCATAGTAAAAACATCACAATAAATGTGAATTAATACAAAGTGAGTTAACGGTGTTTGTTGCTTCACACTGTGAACAAAAACATGATTAAAATACAAGTGCATTATGACCAGACTATAAGTAGTGCTTTTGTTATAGTAGTGCTTAATTAAAGTCAAAGCTGGAGTAAAATATACTAAGCGACATATAAATCCGAACACCCAGTTTAAATGGTTTTATTTTATTAAAATTTTGTATAAGTACTTAATGAAGCATATTAAGTAAATGATAAAAATTTCAAAATGATTGCACTGCTTTAAAGCCCTTTGACCTTTAATAATGTGTGGATGCCCCCTGATGTGCTACGCATTCTCCAACGCGCCTAGGCATGCTTCTGATCAGGTGGTCAATGTCCTCCTGTGGTATCTCATTCCAGGCAACCAGCAACTCCTCTCGAAGTGCTTCTAGAGTCTGGGGAGGACGTTGCAAATTGAGCAATCTCCTACCCATCATATCCCACACGTGCTCAATTGGGGATAAGTCGGGAGATCTTGGTGCCCATGGTAACAATGTGTCATCATTATGTTGAAAGAAGTCTATTGTGACTCTTGCAACATGTGGTCGGGCATTATCTTGTTGGAAAGTTGGATCTGCCAGGGTGTCAAGATAGGGTAAAAGTTGGGGTTCTAGAACTTCTTGGATATAACGCTGCGCGTTCATGTTACCTCTGATGAAGATTAAAGGTGACCTGGCACCATAAGCTATAGCACCCCAAACCATAACTCCAACAGTGTGATGAACATATCTTTCAATAAAAAACTGTGGATTCCTCCTTTCACCACGTCGCCTTCTAACCCTGGCACGACCATCGTGCATGCCTAAACAAAATCGAGACTCGTCACTAAAGACAATACTGTTCCATTCCTGATCCCAGAGTGACCGTTGTCTGCACCACTCAAGGCGATTACGTCGGAGTAAGGGTTAGAAGGCGACGTGGTGAAAGGAGGAATCCACAGTTTTTTGTTGAAAGACATGTTCATCACACTGTTGGAGTTATGGTTTGGGGTGCTATAGCTTATGGTTCCAGGTCACCTTTAATCTATACCAGAGGTAACATGAACGCGCAGGGTTATATCCACGAAGTTCTAGAACCCCATCTTTTACCCTATCTTGACACCCTGGCAGATCCAACTTTCCAACAAGATAATGCCCGACCACATGTTGCAAGAGTCACAATAGACTTCTTTCAACATAATGATGTCACATTGTTACCATGGCCACCAAGATCTCCCGACTTATCCCCAATTGAGCACGTGTGGGATATGATGGGTAGGAGATTGCTCAATTTGCAACGTCCTCCTCAGACTCTAGAAGCACTTCGAGAGGAGTTGGTGGTTGCCTGGAATGAGATACCACAGGAGGACATTGACCACCTGATCACAAGCATGCCTAGGCGCGTTGGAGAATGCGTAGCACATCAGGGTGCATCCACACATTATTAAAGGTCAAAGGGCTTTAAAGCAGTGCAATCATTTCGAAATTTTTATCATTTACTTATTATGCTTCATTAAGTACTTATACAAAATTTTATTGAAATACAACCAGTTAAACTGGGTGTTCGGATTTATATGTCACTTAGTATAGCTACTTGTTAAAAATCTATATGAAAAATTTAAAATAAAAACATATTGCTTACTGATTCGGAAAATTTGAAAATTCATTCTTAGAGTAAAAATATTTCTCACTTTAATACTTAAAAACCTTTTTTTTTAAATTTGATATAGCTCTCTATATCTCTCAGATCTCACAGGTCTCACAGGTAGAGTATTATACAATGACATGAAGTTGAACTGGGGTGACTTTGTATATGCCATAGTTCTAAAATGATTTGCTCTTAAAATGGAATTTCTGGTCTTATAGTTGTGATGTTCATTTACTATGCTGAAATCGTTGGTGTTTAGTTTTACATAGTTACAAACCTATTAATATATATAATAATGTATAAAGTGGCATTTTTATGAGAGCGTCTAGCGGGGTCACATAACCAGTGACTGACCAATTATGTGATTTTCGAACGTTGAAAGAGACTAACTTTAAAGGTGGACGCATTTGACGTTTCTCATGTGCTTGGCAGTAGAGCCATGAATGAACTACAGTGTTCAAAAACTAGTGGTATTGTCTTGAAGAGAAGGAAAGGATCGACTTTCTTTTTTGATGGAACTACCGATAATTATTTACCAAAAGTGTGGAAGTCAGTATTTTACTTTGGTACTAGTTATCTATGCTTGTTATTTAATTATGCAAACTGTATTGTATCAAAGAATACAAGGTTACCAGCAGGGGCACTCGCCCAAAAACCTTTGATCTTCCGACTTCTAAAGATCCCGACATTTTTCTATGATCTCGGATCCTTTTTTTTAGGTGCCTCACTTGAAGAGGTCCCCCCTTGTAGAGGCTGTATATAGGGTCGTGCTGTCGTACTTTGGCGGTCAAAAAATTGTTTGTAATAGTATCGAGTAATTATATGTATGCAGGGTGATTCATTTCATTATTGTTTTTATGGCATGGACTAAGGATGACAAATATCCACTGACTGGCGATGATTCATCTATCGTACTGTCTTCTTTGTCATTACTAAACCCCAGTAATCACTGTGCCGATTTTGGAACTTGGAATATACTGTGTTTTGGATCTGTAGTAAGGTGAAAATCTGAAATAAATAATGGTAAATAAAGTGAAAGAAATAAGAAGAGACTTCTATAAACTACGAAGAATCTGGTATAAACGCCACTCAAAAGGTGCACTATTAGTAAATTTCCTAAACAAAACCACAGATTAAACTAGTTATATAGCTTTCGTCCGTCCGGCCACAGATGGCCAACTATGGACAGCTGTTTCGTGCTATTTGGCAACTCTTCAGGTGTAAGCTTGGTCTCAGGTAGGACAATGAACGAAAGCTGAGCAACTATCCTCTATCCATATTATAAGGCCTGTCGAACTAAGACACGACAAATTGCCGTCTGTTACCAGAATCGACCACTGCGAAAGTTGTCATTGTTCTGCTTTTTTTTCAATAAATCTATAGATGAGCCAGCTCGACCAAGTCCTTTGTAAATACTCCCTTAAATTCCGTAACATATTCAACGAGGCTCCGAAAAAGGGCTCTATCAAGCCTCCAAATTGATAATAGGTTATTTTGTAAATCAGAAGTAAAATTACACATCACATTTTTGTGATATCGCGTTTTTGACACTGGTACACTCATGAATCATAATTATAAATTTTGGATGGATCTCCTTTGTCAATTACACCTCGACCTGAGCTCCTAAATAAAAAACGGATTCTTAATATGCTGGAAAAAGATTACTTGCCTAAAATTAGTAGCAAAGCATCGGAACACCATTTACCTCCTTTATTTCGCACCCAGGCACGCAGCACCAACTTGTCATAGTGAATTGCCCTGTACTCATCCAACAGTCACGCGACCCACTTCTGAATAAAACGGATTCCTGTCATCAACTACCTAGGTAGTTATAGTACAGGAAGTATCTTCGCATCTGATTAGAAAAATAATTTGATTGCTTTTTCACATGATCTCATTCAAAAAGACCCCTTTGAATGAATCTGCATGCTGTCAGACCTAAGATTGCATAAAAAATTGTTTTTCTTTTTTGTTAAGGTTGTGCAAGAAACCTAATCAGAATATTTTTTCGAGCAGATGAAAAGATACATCCTGGACGGGTGATCACATCCAAATGGCCGGTAGCATTTCAGCCACTAGAGGTTTCATCTCAGCCACTGCGACAGAATCTGTTTTTTCAATGATGTGGCTCTTCTGCTGGTAACTCTGCATTCTTTGATTGAACCTAGAACAATGTTGATTGTAATATGAAATGTGATGTGGTTTCAGGATGCTGAAGCTCGTTTGACGGCATTGTGTGTAGTAGAAAGACTGTTAGAACTGCCTTCCCTCAAAGGTCGTGGTGCTCTTCACCCTTTGCATCATCCTCCGGCGAGTCCTACACCATTGATCAATAACAACCATCTACATGATCGCACAGTACGTATGTTACAAAAAAAATTGTTCCATTACTTCAAAACAATTAAATTAAAAATAGTAAATTAAACAGCTTCTAATTAGTCACATTTTAAAAAAGAACCGATTCTGAACATGAAAATGTAAATAGATACCTCAAAACCTACCAAAAAATATGGAACTCGGGAAACTTACAAAATCAAAGATTAAATATATTCAAAATTTAACCTGATCGTTGCTTCTATTTTACAGCAAACTGATGCTTCTGTTAATACGGTAGAAACGTTGTTATCTCCATCTGAAGAAAATTGTAAAAATTCAAACCAGTTGGCTGCATGTGTGACCCCTTTACAACCATACCAGGTCAGTAAAATTCTCTTATGTTTCTCCGCTTCATGTTATTATTATCAAACCATCGAGTTATGTGTAAATGGGTAATAATTTAAAAATCAATGTTAGGGACGGAATCCATGTCTGGAAAGAAATTTGATGTCAGGTTCCAGTGATAGCCTCTTAATTGATAAATCGTCAAAACACTGTACCAGCGGAGCAGAAGAGGAAAATCTTATTACAAACGATTTTTTGAATTTCCAAATCAATCATAGGTAAGCGGAAGAATATTTATTTTGTTTCTCTCGCTAACCCAAATAAGTTGCTTACAGCTTATTTTAAAATTTTACATAAGTATATAATATATCGAAATAAGACAGCACAAAGTGCCATCTTTTAGCAGAATCGACAATTGCGAGTGTATCCTTTGTTTGTTGTAGATTTATTTAGCATTAATGCTACAATATCAATGTTACACAGTATATCACGCAATATTTTATGTCTTCAACTCTACCCATTTTTATACTAAATATCACTACTATGAATTCTGGTTTTAAATGAGATATTTTTTCAATTTATCTTTGAACATTCTCAAACTGGCACACATCTTGATACCATTACTGAATTTACTAAATTCGTACAAACCTTTTTGAAATACTGATTTGTTTGTTATATCGTTACTACAAATTTGTAATTGAACTCTTCTACTAGAATAGCTATGGTAATCATTGTTCAATTCAATAAGATTTTCTAAATGATTTCGTAGATAGTTTCTTAACTTGAATATGAAAATGAAAACCAAGTAGTTTATGAAATTTTTGATATTTAACCATTTTAGTTCTGTCAGCATAGAATTTATTCTAGTATATTTATTTTTGACTCTTAGATTTATTTTGTAATATGTATTTGTAATTCTGAAAATACAGTTTCGTTTGCAGTGAACAAAATAGTCGAATAATATAACAAATGAGGAAGAATGATAGTGTACACTATATTTTTTTAGAATTTATACTCAGGCTATGCGAAATTCTATAGAACTTATTTATCTTTTTGGACATTTGAACTAATATATCCATAGTGCCCTTCAAATGTTAATTTACCATCTACATAAATATATGCCCAAATATTTAAATGATTCTATCAATTCAATTTTTTTCAAGATTAATCGTAAGATTTATCGTATTTTCATCTAAATATTTTCCTATAAGCATAAATTTTGTTTTGTTTGTGATTAATTCAAGTTTATTCCCATTCAACCAATTAATTATGTTTTTCAAATCATTATCTAACAGCTCTGTTGCAGTTTCAATTTCCTCATGGAACTGTAATGAATGCTAAATGATCAGCATGTTTAGTTATATAGTATATTATACTTCTAAGTGAATTTCAGTTTAACTGTTGTATACTGAAGAAAATCAAATATTAATGTTTTAGGGCAACACCTATTCCTTATGTACAAAATGCAGTTCATGGATTTCCAAAACAGCAGAATACGAATGACATTATTCAAGTGCCTAAAAGAGAAAAATTTAAATGGAGTGGACTGAAAAAGCTATTTAACTCAAAGAAACATGCAGTCAATGCAAATGTATGCAAAGAAACACAGGTATTTCATTATACTATGAAAATTGTTTTTATTTTGCCTTTGGTTCCATGACGTTTCAGTTTCTAAAAAGCTGGGTTCTATTTTAGGTAAAACTGAACACTAAGATTGTGAACGGCTTCGGAAAAAACGGGGTAACTACGTCTTTACTGTTCGAAGAAAACGAAATTAAAAGGCCTCTTACTTTAGCCCTCAAAGAGGTAAAAACAAAAGAACCAAATAATTGTGGAATTTCTCAAATAATAAAAAGGAAGGACAGCCTCTCAGGGCAACGGTCTCTGGAGCAGTTCAATGAGGTGTTTTCTTCAACTAGCGACCTCTCAAGACTGAAAGATCCAGCAGCTAGGGTGAAAACTCCTGGAGATGTTCCACCTAGCGTAAGGAGAACCAGAGGAAAGGTAAATGATCAGTAGTATTTCACTATTAATTCCGTTCACCCTTTTGTATTGTAACTGTGCTGATATTGGAACTTCTTTTAGTTATATGTGGGGGCAGATTTGCTTTTTTGCAATTTTCACCTTTTTTTTAGAAGATTGAATACTGAATTAAAACTTTATCTTATGTCCATATTTCTTGTTATTCTCTCGAAAAACAAATAGATGGCCATGAATCAATGAATTCAAGTGAAGTAAAGTAGCAGTTGAGGCTAGACTTCGCTGTTTGTACTGTACCTTGTACATCACATTGAAAACTATAGGCACGATCTAGCAACGACTTTTTGACGATTATAGACAGTATGAAGCAGGAAACCATTACAGTTTGACATATAGCGGTATTATTTTGATAATTTGCTTGGCCAACTAAGTTTGACAGTTGCGAACCGTTTGATATATAGTAATCGCTAGAACAGGGCTTATACTGAACCGTATGGCGACCACAGGGATTGTCCTTTATTATTCGTTGCTAGGTATCGACGCTGCTACCAGTGTTACATTTTTATGGTCAAATTATTGTCAATTTATTTTTCTTCTAAAAAACTAAAAAATTTCATAACATACAGATATTTAGAAAAAAACAAAATTTGCATCTCTAAAGATTTTCACTGTTGATGAAATATTCCTTTAATTTTCTTTTAAACATCTTCAAATTACAAGTAGACTCTATATCATTATTTAGTTTATTAAATTCAAGTAATCCTTTTTGAAATATTGATTTGCTAGTTATATTACTATTGCAATTTCGTAAATGAAAATCTATATTTTCTCTTGTTTAATAATTGTGGTAATGGTTATTTAATTCTATGTAATGTTCTAATGTCGTGGCAAAAGGTGATTTTTTATTTTAAATATAAAAATAAGAACCAAATATGATAGGTATGAAATTTTTTATATTCAACCATTGCAATTCTTGTAAGATAGATTTTATTTTGGTGTACTTATTTTTATTCAATATTATTCTCATAGCTTTATTTTGCAGGACTTGTAATTTTAATAATACAGCTTCATTGGCAGTGAACAAGATAGTTGAACATTATAGTAAATGCGGTAGAATAATTGTATTATAAATTATTTTTTTGGAATATGTACCAAGACTATGAGAAGCCCTATAAAAGTAATTTGTTTTTTTGGCAATTTTTGAAATAATGTATTCATAGTGATCCTCAAACTTTCATTTACTATCAATATATATACCTAAATTGACTCAACATTTTCAATTATTTCACCATTTATCCTGTGATAGTATTTTCATTTAGGTATTTCCCTATTAGCATACATTTTGCTTTAGAAGTATTCAATTTTAGTTTATTTACATTTAACCAATTTATGATTTTTGCCAAGTCAGAATTTAGCATTTTTAAAGCAGTGTGTATATTTTCATCTGATTCGTATATTAATGTATGATTTGCAAATATCTGAATATTACAATAATCTAAAATATTACAAGTGTCATTAATGTATAAAATAAATAATAGTGGACCTAGTTTACTACCTTGTGGTATACCAACAGAAATATTTTTTGATCTTGATAATGTAGATCCAATTTTGGTTGTTTTACTTCTGGCAATTAAATAGTTTTATACAATTTTGAATATAGATCCTTTAAAGCCGTAGTGATGCAATTTTGTAAGTAATTTATCCCTGTCCAAAAACACTGTTGCTGTACGTTTCCTATTGTCCATACATCTTCTCCAATCCTTTAAAACCATTTGTGTTGCCGTTTCAGTTGAGTGTTTCTTCCTGAATGTCGCTTGACATTTGGTTAAAATTTCCCACAATAATTCGATGATCTGTTCGTAAATGAGTGAAGAAGATGAATTTGGGGTGTAATAAGCGTTTATGTCCCGTAACAGAATTCGCAGCGCTCCATGCCTTGTGCTGTAATTTCACGCTGCGGGCAATGACCGCCCGCCTATTGATCTAGATAAATTAACATTATTATGAATAGTTGGGGTTATTGCTGAGCCTTATCTCGTTTTTAAGTCACGTCTAAAGATCTATTTTTTTTTTCAAGGCTGCCGTTAGTTCAGCTCGATTCTCATTGTATGATGATCGAATGATGTGCAGGGGACAATGGGGCAGTGCACCTGACCTAGATCCTCCGCCAATGAGTGATGTGCAAGACAAAGATAGCGTGAGTAGTTTTTAAGGTGTTATTGATTTCCAAAATCAGTTGCTTCAGAACGTGCATTTAAGTTGTTGATCATGTAATGTGCTGATCTCTTAATCAATTTGGAACACAAACATTAGGTATCACAAGAATCTGTGACAGCACATGTTTTTTGAAACCAGTACAGAAAAAATCTGAACAAGCTCAAATAAAAAGGATTATCAGAAAATTTTAATAATTCGCTGTCTCCAAAATTATTTGTTTAAAGAAATAGTGTTCTGAAGCTTATATGCTTTTTTGTGATATTTTTCTGTTCAATGTCAACTAAAATTTTTTTAATTCCGTAACATTTTTGATGGGAAACGACTTCCAGCTAGCAGGATTTCAGGATTAGTATATAACTGAGAAGTGAATTGCAATGTTTTTTTCCAAAACTCCAACATTCATTTCGGGGCGCAATGGTTCTGAAGCAGTTGACGGTCATTTAGAGTGAATGACGCTGAGTTGTGGTTAAATGTCCGATCAAATCTTGGATATGTATTTTCTGTTACAAATACTACCCCTTGATACAGCTTTAATTGTAATAGGTACGTTTAGCCTTAATTGCAGTTGTCAAATGTACCCATATACTGAACTACTTCTGATAAGCATAAATAATGATACAGTCGATTAAGGAAATAATTTTTAGTATTCCTTCAATCGGATATATTTAAATGTCTCGATAAAGTACCCATTAATTTTTCAACTAAAAGCTGTAATTATTTTTATTTCAAATTAGAACAGGGGTGTATGTGGCGTATTTACTTTAAAAAAAGTGTCATTCCAATATTAGTCCTAACACATTAACGTAATATGGCATGCTTATGAAAATATTATGTTGAGAATGCTCTTTTGTTTCTCTGTAAAAATTGGAGTGTTTATAATTTTTTACGTACTCAGTTGTACTGTCAACATGCATCGATATACCAAATTTCAATGACTTTTGTAACATTGTTTTTAGACTAAAATAAATAATATCCGTACCTTATTTTATAAGTATTTTAAAGCAACTGTCACTTGCTATGCAATACAATATAGGGTGGCAATCTATTTAGAGTATACCGAACTTGATAATATTCAGTAATGTTAAACACTGCTTTTCAGAAATGCCGTCTCCCCTCCTTATTTTTAGATCGTGATGATTTAACGAGCTGAAATTCTGGATGAGTAAATTTGCGCGTAAATGCGTAAAAATAACAGATGCTTCTCAGCACCCTAGAGTATAAAATCATACTCTTTGAAAATGGGTGGCCTGGCAGGCTGTCAAAATTGAGCGTTTTTGTACATTGAATCGCTTACTCAACAACAAAATTCCTGGTATGTGACATCAATCTTCTTCTAATGGAATGTGCAATAAACTATATGGACCTTCAATCAAAAAAAATTGACAGGTTTTGTATGGTTTTCGATGAAATGTATCAAATTCTATATTATATTCAGATAGCCACATCCAAGAGCATAAGATTGATATAGCATACTACAGCGTTTTGTTGGTTTGTTTGTTGTATTATGTCACACAATTTACAAAAACCCTAAACCCTGACAGCCTGCCAGATCGTCATTTTGAAAGATATTAATTTTATCTTCTAGGGTTATAAAGTACCCATAAGGAGCTACAAAATTATGTATCACTCGAACCCTCATTCTACTTAAAACATGTTCCAAATTGGCGTCCAGCCGCCATGCTGAAATAAATTTCCAGCAGCCTTATTATGCTGAAACATAGTATCCATGAGTCAATTGCATTACCCCACATTTCAGCTTTCTAAGTTGATCCGTTCAAAAAATAATGGGGGGGGGGGGGGGGGGGTGAAAACCACTATGTAATTCAAACATTCCTTAAAGGTGGCTCGTTTATAAAATGTTCTTGATAGAACTCCAAAACCACTTGTTTGCTAAAATTCATCGACTAACCATATTTTTAGAAATAAATAAACAGATAAGCCCTGTACATATGGATCGGATTTATGCACAACATACCTAACATTCATCGTCTATATGATGATCCACCGCATTTGCACTATCTCTATTGAGTTTTACTTCCATTTTTTATGTGTACGTTGGAACAATAGTACATTACATGCTTAGTTTTAGAAGTGAACCTTTATTGGATGAGCAGTAATAGAAGTATATAATACGCCAGCCAAATAAATAGTCTTTTTAAGCCAGGTATGTATAGAGTTTTTCTCACTACTGACGGGGGGTGCCAATAGTATACATGAGTTTGTACCCTGCTTTGAGCGCCATCTAAAGAGAGTGACTCCGACTAACTGCATTAAACATGCGTAGTGACATCACCGTTTGAAACGTAAAGAGCATTATTGTTAATTGTAATGAGTAGAAGTATCAAAAAATATCAGGCCAAAGGCTGTTTCCAAAAACAGAAAGCTCTCTTGTGTGTAAAATCTGTGAAACAGAATCAAGCAAGACTTATGTAAGAAAAAAGAGGGTATAGTGTTGTTTCGGGCAGTAGAAAAAATTATAGTTTCACAACTCTAAAAGGTATTTTTTGATGGTACATTGTTCTGTATATGTAATAGAAAGAGTTCGCTATGCAAGCTGCCCATAGCTAATCAAACAGCAGAAGATACAGAAGAGGTCCAGAAAGTGGTCGTCATGAATGTTTGCGGTCAGATAACGTCTGATACTGGAAGAGAGTTTAAATAGCAATATTTAAGTAATAATACTGTAAGCACATGTAACATGAAATGAAGTGTGCATATACAGTTTAGTAGCAGCACTTTAAAGTTTAATGGAAGACTAGCATTTTCTATGTGTGTTATCTTAGTAACAATATTTTTTTGAATTTTCAGCACAAGTTTCTTGCCCCTATCCTTGAAACCAGGGATTATGTCCAGCAAAAATGGTAAAAAACTTCTGTTCAAAATTCAGAAATAATTGGAACCAATAATAGTGTAAAATGGTAGCATACATATAATGCATCGTACTGGTAATAGAGGGCACGAAAGTGGTTAGATAGTGTTATTTCTTGTAAAGAAAATTATCCCTTATAGTGGCTTAGTTGGAGTTACCTTATTTAGATGACGTTGCCACAGGTGGTACTAGAGAGTAGTTAAGAGAGTATTATCTGTAGTGTACCAATAACCTGTGCTATATAACATAAAATATTCAAATGTTATGTTTGTTGGCAAACTGAAATTGGTAGTGAAAAAAATGTGATACTCGCATAATAACTTGACGTATTGGTCTTGTTGATAAAATTTCTCAAATATATCACAAAAATTTAAGGGATTTTTCCCTGGACCATATTCAGCATATTGTATTTTTTGATGCTTCTCAGCTTAGTCTTTGCTTCTGAGATGCAGGCAGAAAGCGCCTTTTAATAGAAAAAAGTGAGAACTACTCAAAAACATTAATTTTGTATAACTTGATGGAGATAGTGATAATGTGCCAATGCCTTATACCTCACACTATTAATAGCAGTTGTTTCCTCTTAGCTCAAATGCAACAGTTGAACATAGTGAGATACCAAATTTCAAAGCTTAGCGCAAATATAATTGGTTAAATAATCATATAAGAGTATACTAAAACTGTAGGTGTTTATAAATTTATATGAAAATATTTAGGATATGATCGCACTATAAATGTAATGATTTAATCGATTCCCTGAGCTAGTGAACTGTCAAAATTTGTATATTCTTTTTGTTCTTCATATACTGTCGATTATCTAAGATTCTTCAATAACGGATAACAGCTGTTTATCAAGTGACATTCAAATCACCTCATCTCGTGAAGTGACACATAGCTCTGATGGCGACACACAAACTCATACGCATCTATAGACAGAATCGTATTAAAAGAGGAGGGTGACCGTATTTTATTGTGGCGTCTTGTACTGATTCATATTTCCTAAGAACAATTTTATGTGATTCCATCTATTTTTCTATGTGTAATTTGTATATTTTATTGTCAAAATTCCCAGCAAGTGCAAGTATGAATGGAAAAATCAATTTTCATTAGTGTTTGGTGTAAGTAGTTGTGAATACGGTCCTAAGTTTCAACAGTTTCACTATTGCCAGCAGCACGAGCTGAACTCAAAGGTCTTACTTGCTAATTAGCTGTTTACCTCAATAGACGTCAAAACGTGAAATGTCGCGAAAAATGGGTTACTAAATTCGAGTAAATGTTTTTTTGTCAATAAAACATAGTCACATGCTTTTATTTCTTCCATATGTCAGGAGAGTATAGTATTTAATAGAAATATTGCTACCGCAATTGTTTATTTTGAGTATACTTTGATTCTGACCATAATACTAAATTCCAGAAGATAGATTTTGCTATGGTGAAATATGCTGAAAATGTAATGAAAATTATTTTTATTGGAAAATCTCACGATTATTTAAAAAATAGGCGATAAAATTGGTCCACTAACTTCTGGAATCGTGCGCGCAAAATATTATTTCTTAAAGAAATTACTTATACTAGGTATACTCCAAGATATGTATGTTTGTGATTTTTTCGATTTAAAATCGTATTAATTTTATTTTAAGCTTATTCAATATTCTTTGGCTGTGTAATTTTACTTTTTGTAACAGACTTGGTCCCAGATGAATATTTTGTAAATACAATTCACTGGGAAATAAATTACACCAAATTTGTATTTCAATTAAATAAAAATGCTGAAGCAGTATTAATGTGTTATTATTTAACATGATTAATAATCATCTGATAACTTAATAACTAAGTACATATTCAATTTTTTTGAGAAGATATTATCTTAGGAATTATATTATTTGACAACAATTCAATTTGACAACAAAACGCAAAGCAGTCAGCTTTACTTGTTATGAAAATACATTTTTCACTAGTGCTGTCACTTCAAGAAGTATAAATTTTAGTAAATACAATTCATAATAAATTGCACCAAATTTGTATTTCCAATAAATGAAAATGCTGAAATCATCTGTTAACTTAATAATGGACAATTTTTTTTTGAGGAAAGATATCTAACAAATTATAGTATTTGACATCAGTGCAGTAGCCTAAACAGGTCTAATTATGAAATACTGTTCAAAATACAAAACTCTCGGCTGTTTAAAATTTAACATGTTATGAAAATACATTTTTCACTATTGCTGTCACTTCAAGAAATATAAATTTTAGGCTTAACTATTACATAACTATATCTCCACAGATCTAGAATCATGTTATTGGGGTTAGTTAACATTAAACTCCTCAAACTTCTTAATCTCTTCTGCTGACACTGTTGGTTTAATCCTGTGTATAGTCATGAGTAGATCTTCTGCGTTGGGCGGTCTAGCTCTCACAGAACAAGGAGGCAGATATTTTATTTTACTGAAGATTGTGAGGCATTCTGAGTCCTTAATACACTCACAGGTGGCAGGCTCGTAAAAACCGTCAGTGCAATGCTTCCAGACAGATGTATCTTGCAGTTCTGCAAAACAATGAATTTAATACACCATGAATCTTCAGACTCATGGATACATTTGCTAGCGAGAGTATAGTATGGCTCCATAATATTATAAAAGTGAAAAGTTTACCTAAAATAGGAATACTGAGAGCTTCCTGAACTAAGTTGTAGATGTCAGAACCAGAAAATCCTGCGGTTTTCTCTACAATGAACTGCCACGAGGAACTGACAATTTCAAGTGAAGTTTGTTGTGTGAACAACTTTAGAAGAGCGTGCCTAAAATATATGCAGTGATGAACAATAGTAATTGAATATTATTTCGTTATCTGCAAAATATTAATGAAGCACATTATTGTCACATCATATGAACTCACGGGTGATCAAGTAAACTCCATTATTAGAGTATAAACGGATCGATTGACAAAAGCATGAGTTCAAGTATGTATTCTCCACTATAGACACGTGACTTTGTTGTGCACATGCATGTTTTGACCATAGCCTAGGTCCCAGCAGCACAACCGGGCAAGCCTACAGTGGAGATCGAACTGTTGCACGTACAGTATTCGGTAGCAACACCCAAAGGTCGCGGCGCCAAGTGGCGCAGCATATTGAAACTCACCTTTGAAGATTTGACGGTAGGACATCTGTCACAAAGGTAAGCTAGTTCAAGCGACAGCCTTGTATCTTTCGCAATCCATGCGCTTCACCGTCTACGGCCGAAACATACATTTCCACATCAAAGCAATGAGCTTAGTGAAAAATATACTAGATCTCAGTCGTCAATTTGAGAATAGAGCTGGTGGACCGCGTATAGTACGAAAGACAAAGGTTGTTGCTACGAACTAGCAACTAGCACATCTTTGTAACAGACGTTGTATGGGGATCTGTCGCCGAATACAGTTATCTCCAAAGCTTAGCACTACTGATTCTCAGTAAGAGATGCCACTTGTGCGTCTTTGAATGCTACTACCGTATAAAAGCATGAGAGTCTGAGGTACACCCATATCTGGGACCTTGAGTACCGATGCAATCGGTCCTTAGGCAACCAGAGTTACGTCATGGTGTGTCAAGAGTCATATAGCTTGATCACGGGTCAGCCGACATCGCGAGCATTCGAGAAGATTCGATCGACATCTAGAGAACTTCGATAAAACGCGAAATTGCTCTGGAATTCGTCAATTTCAAAATAAATACCCATCGCCTCCACCGGAGGGACAGTCGAGTACCCGACAGCGCAGAACGCGATAGTCCAGTCGACATGGTTATATATTTGTCATATTATACACCATTCGTAGTTCATTTACGCCCAGACAAAACAACATGCCCAAAATCGAGATTGTACAGGTCCGTATTTTCCTCAATGGTCTTGGAATAATCTAAAAAAATAAATGATTATTTTTATAGAAAGACTTGCACATACTTTTCACAATTCTTTACTCGCTGGAAGTACTTGAATCATCGTCCGAATGGTTAATATGAATTATTACAGGTTCAATTTGAGGATCGGTCATATTGTCCAGATCCCACATCTTTGTTTCGATTGTCTCTTGAACGTGACGGATGCAATCTCTCCAATCGTCTGCCGTCACTCTGTTGACTGCTTCATAGAACAAATTTTTCACGTCAGAAAATTGGAATGTTCTATTGTTTGAAGCCAAAAATAGTTTTTTATATTTACCCAAATCATTTCAATGGGATTTAATTCGCAGTGATAAGGGGGTAGCCTTATAACGTCCTTATTTTGGTTTTTAGGCCTTTCGTCAATAACACTAAGACTATATTTATATTTGTAGTGCCTGACTAGATGGATAAGTTCTGCTTTGAGCATATATTGTTGAATTTCTGCCTTTCTTGTCGACAATTTGGGAATTTTTTCTATTTTTCTAGTGTGGTATGCAGCATTATCAAGTACAATGACGGCATTTTGTCGTCATGCTTTGGGAGCGTTTCTTCAAACCATCTTTCAAATGAACTCCCGTCCATTTCTTTGACTCAAATGCCCATAGGGCAGTGGACACAAAGCCATCTTAACTGCCAATGTGACAGATAACAAATCGTATTCCTTTTCCTGAAAATAATTATTTCATATAGTATTCAACAAACTAATAATAATACAAGCAGAGTATCTAACAGGTGTTGGTTCCAAATCTACCAGCTATAGCTAAGTTTAGTGTGGGATGATAGATTCAGTCTTCTTGACATCATTTTTACAACACAAATTACGAATTGGTTAGATACACGCACCTTACGGATTTTTTAGGCCAGTGGTTAGTCTATCTAAGAAGGCTTGTCTTGCTGATTTAATTGTAGTCAGCCCAAACTTTAGGTTTTGTATGTCCTACATTTATCCAGGTTTCATCCAAATAATAAATCTTCCTGCCCTGGTCGCGGTATTTCTTTATTGATTTTAAATAATTTCTTCTCCATAAAATGATCTCTTGGCTGTCCATCAAAATACTCTGCCTCTTTTTCTATACTTAAAATGAAATTCTTTGGTCCTTTTCAAAGTAGGTAAGTCTTCATCACTATTAACCTCCTGTAATACTTTGTTCCTGCCTTTCAAAAAATGGATGGTCTTTGCGTCTGATGGCATTCCGATCAAAGTTATCAACTGTATCCAACAGCTTCGTGTAATTCAGCCTCTTGAGTGGTGGAGCCTTTTTTTATATTCTTTAACAATGTGGAAAATTGTCTAAGGACATAAGCCTGTTTTGTTCGCCAAACGCCTTCCAATGTCATGCATTTTCATTTCAGGATGCTCTAAAATTTCGCTATTATAAACGGTAAGGACAATTTCTTTTGCCTGAATATTCAAATGTCCCTTCTTGTCACGTTTTCGGGGAGGAGACACTACTGAAGAGGAAGCATGGCTGAAGGAAGCATGGGGAGAAATATTCTCAGTTTCATCTGATGTATCCATAGACGACATGCTAACGTATAAACACACGCTATGTATGCACCGAATATGAACAGCAACTGCTGGCATCGGGGTGCCGGCGATACCCCGAGCCTGAGTTCTATCCTATCGAATCCTCCACTTGTTCGTAGTTTTATGGGCGAATGGCCAGTGGCTATTGCAACGCTTAGGCCGAGGCTAAAAAGACTACGAATAGGGTACAGTTGCAAGTGTTTTTATCAATAAATTAGTGTAAGAGTAATAAATTAGACTTTGAACAGTAAAAACAGTGTTTTCGTTACAATATTATATCGTTTGCATAAGTGGAGTTTCATATATTGTGACTTTACGCCACAGCTTGTGAGTTTGCATGATAGCCCGTGAGTTCACGCGATGTGACAATAATCCGTTCCCGCCTCTAGTTTCTGCAGCAAGTATGTAGTAGCACTAGACCTTTCTGAAGGTCCAGGTAAGGGGATGTACAGCCGTTTATGAAATCGTCTCAAAAACGCTGTATCCAAGTCCCACGGACAGTTGGTTGCACAAATGAGCATTGCATTTGGATTTTCCTCCATCTTGGAGAGGTGGCACATCAGTTCCGTTTTCAGCCTGAAACAAATATACGAGGTGGGACTATATTCGCATTTTTTATATATATAGAATGGTTACCTACGGCTGTGGTCTTGTTCGGCAGCATTTCTTCTCCTGCAAAATCCATCTATTTCATCAATGAAAAGGACGCTAAACTTATTTGTAGTTCTCATGTGTTCGAATAAATATTTCAGGTTTCTATAGAAAAATCATGATGTTAAACGTGCATGGAAAAACTGGACTTTCTGATGTAACTTTCGTTTTTTTTTTTGAGAACTGAAAATATCGGCTTTATGACAATATTTTCAGCAAGTCACTTATACAATTACAGTTTCAAAACTCATTACTCCGCCATGTCAAATTTGAGACAACCACAATCAAAAACTATTCATAGACGCCCACAAGAGATGACCCTGCAAATCCGTCGCACCCTAATGTTTGCATATTAAGAACTTTTTAGATCTGTTTTTCATGTTACAATATTTTGTGTATAAGTCTATCATTGTTTTCCCCATTCAAACCCCATATGTTTCAGTTAGTGCTATTGTTTATGAGTAGAACCTGTCAATTACGACGGGTATCTTGCCGGCAGAGAGATGAGCCATAGTTTACTTATAATGTAGAACGATTAGTTGAGTGCTCTTTATACGTAGCCGTATCCCTGAACGATTTACCTTTTCTTTTTTTTGTTTTAAGTCCAAGGTATACGAAAGCATTTTTAATTTTCATCGTAAAAAAATCTACTTTTATTGTACTTGAAAAAGGTCACTGTGGTGGCGAAACATCGTACAATAAACAGTAACTGAAACGTAGGTGGTATGAATTTGCGACAAAAAATGAAGTCCTTTCAACATATTTACTGCAGGAGTACTTTCAGGTGTTCCATTAAATTTTGTCTCGTCAGCTTCCTGACTGAAATTCTTGTAAGCGGACATGAAACATTTCACGAATGTAAATACGTGAATCGTTTGAAGCAATGTGGTGTTTGACTGAATATTTTACTATTCGAAAATTGATACTGCACTGCTGCTTTCGGAGCAGGTGAGCTTTTGTTCTGTAGAAATGGATCACCTGAAAAACAGAGCGACGTGAAATCAAGCTATTTGGAATAACAATGAAAAGCGGCTTTGACAGCGCGCTTAACGCTCGGCCATTGAGAACGCGATTGTTCTGCATATAGGACTGCCATTTCCTGATAGACTGACGTTAACGTTACGCCACAGATCCACGCTAAGATCAGTCCCACGCTATCACCATTAATGTAAGTGATCCGGAAAGCCCGATTTTTTGGAGTTCATATAACATGTCACAAATGAGTTTTGAAAAGATTTTGAAGAACACACAATTGGTTATTTAATAAATACCTCTCAGATTGTCCTACATAAGCGGATAAAATGTTACTGGAGCTGACGCTATGCAAAACTGCATTGGCTTCTGATGCAAGAGCATGTACTAGACGAGTTTTTCCCGTGCCTGGAGGACCATAAAGTAATATGCTCTTGGACACTTTGTGGTTTACAAATAATTGAGGTTGGCTTCTTGGCAATATTGCGAGTGATGTCATTACTTTTTTCACTTCCCATAGGCCAGCAATCTCTTCCATGCTTTTAACTCGCGGAATCTCTGTTGTTTGTTGGATGATTTTTTGGACATCCTCGCTTTCCTTTGAAGAAGCATCCACCACTGGTGCAGAATGGGATGTATTATCCACATTGCCGATTTTGCTCCTTTGCGATTTTAAATAGTCTAATTTGTGGATCACAAGTTCGACGAAATGCACCATTTGCTCTTGCAGCTGTACTAAATCCTTGAAAAGGAAGATGCAATAAAGTGTAGAAAATTACATACAACTTTTTATTCTGCTACTAAGCTAGTAGAAGCTGTCTTCCGTAAAAGTTGGAACTAAGACAAATGCTTATTTAAAATTACCCAGTAACCACAAGCAGGTACTTCCTCTTCTCCATGTAAAATGTTACATATTTTTACATGACAATTCTGTATCTCTTCTAATATAGTTTGCAGATCTTGTTCATGCTGTGAAATTTCATTCTCAGATCTGAAAAAAAATTTTAAACATTTAAAATTATTGCTGCATTATCCTATAACACACTTACTGATTTTCAGCAGAAGCCTGATTAGTTGACATCGCGAATTTCAAAATTTCAAATTCAAAAGTTATTTGCAATACATATGTCAAAGGCTATTGCATGTCGGAACCACAAAACAGTCAGAGCACAGAACAGCTGTGAGCTTAGGACAACAAACATCAATCATAGCCACAGACTAACAAAAGGAAGAAAGTAGTTGAGATAAATATCATCACTAGGCTCCTTTCATCCAGTTGTTTGGATAGACTACTTTCGTCTCATGCCGTGTTAAAAAATTATCTTATTTGCTATATAGCGTCAATAAGGAAAAAAGGCATGTTTCAAAATAATCTTATACTAAAGGTTGACAGACAAATAAATTATAGAAGTTGAATTCAGCATCCTGTTCCGTCCGAAGATAAACGACTGCAAAACATAAACAATAGTGACATCGGCATCATGGACTATAGAGATTTTTTCGCGAGATCCCGTAGTGAACCGCAGCGGGAATAGATGGAATTTCCCCTTCCTCTAGAAGTTTTGACAGTTTCAAGTTACACCGGGAGTGGTTAGATGGCGCATGTTGCGCAAAATGTTTACTTTAAGCTCCTTGATGTACACATATATCACTACAATCAATCATTTCATATGACAAGTGCGGTTCATATATCTTCGATGACCTTCTCCCTCGTCATTTAAAATCAGGTGGACATGTTCCTCCATTTATGATTTAATAATTTTACTCAATTTTCGGCACTGCGAAGACAAATTTTCAATTGAGATGCCTGTTTTTTAAATCACATTGACATAAGACCTGTCACCCGCTAGTACCTCACAGACGATAGGCGGGTACCCGTACTACGTGATTTTTTGACATCCGGACGACGTCACATCCGTTTTCCCCTATTCCCGCTCGCGAAAATTTGAGTATCGGTTCCCGGTAGTGCACTGTGCTTCACTGCTTCACCGTGGACTCGCAAAAACGTCCTCTTTACTGGCTTTATTCGGTGCCGTCTTAAAATCGCAATGAAGGTTTTGCGCAATCTGATTCAGGCTCATCATTGGGGCCAATATAGAAAAGTTCAAGGGGGGCAAATTGGTGGTACCAAAATTCATGTTCAGCATGATTACCGTCTCCTGGGGATTTTGACCTACGAGTTTTCTCTAGATTTGTCTTGACAGCACAAAGTATATTAAAATTTTATAAAATGAAACTGGCGATTTTTTTAAAGGCAAACTTCGACTTTCAGATTCCTATTTCACGGACTACACAATTGATTCTTCAAGCTCTATCTAGCGGGAGCAAAATTAGAGACCGCTGCCAATCTCTACTTTTTGACGAGGCCATATTGCTTTGAACTTCCCACAAAAATGATTCATTGCATTTTATTTCTCAAAAACCTAATACTAGAGACAGTTTGAGCCGCCATACATGGTACTAGTGTGAGATGGCCCTAAAAACACAGCCTGCAATATGGCGACGTTATGCGGTTAGAGAGGCATATCCACATATCTGCCCTGTAGCTTCGTTCTCTGTCTTACTTAATCCCAGCTTCAAGCTTGTGAGCGGCACATGCGCATGTCATAAATCCACAATTTTTCTGCGGCCATTTATTTGTGTATGTGTATTATAATTTCGTTTCGGGTGTTAAATAGGTCACGCCTTGCTGATTTAAATGTATTGTAGCGTTAAAAACTGTGAAAAACCATTGCTTTAATAAGCCGTCAATATATTGGTAAGTAAAAATTGTATTTTATTTAATTAACCATTTACATGTTAGGCACTACGTCACTACAAAAATGTTTTTCAAATTCATCAGCATTTTTTTTGCATGTATTTGTACCAAAATACTGTTTTTGTTTTGTTCTTATGTTACTTTTTGTTCATTGGTGGTTGTCTGCTTGAATTTGTTGCGGTCACTAACATTAACGTGCATGTATTCGCTTTGCATTTTCACAAGTTGTGCTATGGAGGACACTGGCATATTTATGTTTTTTATGGAAGAAATGTATTCATTGTAGCAACTGCAATTGTAAAAGAATCTTAGGGGCTCAAATATGCAATCATATCTATTTAATGCTCCGTTAGTAAAGCGGAAGGCTCATTTAAGGACTTGCGAAAATACCGGTTGTTTATGGGCAAATTGCCCGACTGATCTCCTTAATTCTATTGAAAACAAACCTTTCTCGCGTCATAGGCCTATTTCTTATAAAATTATCACAAATGAATAAATGAAACCATTCTTGAGGATTCATTCTATGGCACTTGCCAAGTGTGAGGGAAACTAAAGCATCAACATACAATAAATGGTCAATATGAAGGCATTTGTTCACAAAAGAATGACTTTTGAACAGTATAAGAAGAGTGACCATACACTAGGGTTACTCTAATGCTTATTCAGAATCATATGATATACAAAAAATACCACAAAATGAAGGAAATACTATAATTGAAGATCAATAAATGATTCATATAATGTTTAAGTAGGATTTGAAATGCATTGTTTAATTATTTTATCTATTATCAGATAGTGAAAGTGTAAGTTATGTTTTTATGCTCTACGGTTGTAACACCCACGATTTTTAAATTGGCCTATGGCCATCAACCATCGTAACTGTGTGAACTTATTTATCCCTATGCAAAGGATTCAGTAACCAGTATAAGGTTATATAGTGTGGTCAATTGATTTATTTATATGAACAATTGAAACCTTCATTAATTTTTCTTACCTTGTTAATATATCTCAGGCATATTGAGGACTAATGTCCCAAAAATAACTTCTATTCCTAAGGGATTAAGTGGGTGCTCTTAGCATGTTGTGTGAAATTAAAGCTGAAGGTGAGAAGCACCCTGGTCTTTAACATGTCAAGAGGTACAATTCCTTATTACACCCCAGATATATACAAAATTATTTTATGAATGGGTATTATAGGCTAAGAAAAAATAGTTTGATCTCTTGGTGGGCCTACAAAAATACTAGCTATATTGTAATGACTGATACCAGTTGTGGGAGAGTTGATGCTGTTACCTAGTGACCAATAAATACATATGGTTATCTTGGACAATAATACATGTAAGATAGCACTCCTGCTAAAGTTACTTAATTGCCTAAAGCTATCCATGAAGTGAAAACATACACTTTGTCATATGTTTTTGTTTTATAAATTACATTCTCTAACAGCTCAAGAAAGTGCAGAATATTTAGGTGAAGTGCATTGAATAGAAACGAGAGAATCATATGTTTATGTTGTTGAATAAAAAAAAAACATTTTCAAAGCCTTGCCATGAAATCTATGGAACAAATTAATGACTGCCAAATTTTGTTTTATTCCTGGTATACACCTACTCGGTCACTAACGACCCGCTACAGGAGTACAATCCTTTCCCCTTATGCAGTAGTATTTCTTATCATTGAAGGAATATCTGGTATATTAAGTAACCACTTATGTTTCTGTTAAATCTATGAAAAAGATTGTGTCAAGTAGGTGGAGTCTGCACTCCCCATGTAATGTTGTGATCAGTTCATAAAGGATTATTCAGTGCAACTTAGCTTCTCTGAGAATAAAGCTGGATATGCTCATGCATAACAAGAAACTAAACTTATCAAGTTCGATATGCTCATGAATAATAGAAAATTGAAGGGATCAAGTCAGTCAAACACTCTCATAAGATAAAATTTTAAATTTCCATATTTAGTGTGATTTTGTGTATAATTTTGTGGATATTTTGGCTAGCTTCTGTTGCTGCGAAATGCCCCTCTTCGCCTTGACAAAAAATCCCGCTGGCGCCCATGAACGTTATTATGATTAACTTTGCTGCTCATCATCCACAGCAGTACTGCATCCATTATCGACTGCAAAACACAGACACTCATCGGCCATACAGCAACGCTTGTATCATATCCAGACACGCGTCTGTTTAAAATATTTCTTTGTAAGTTTTAAGGACAAATGTATGAGGATATCAATTCGTTTTTTGTCTAGCTCCGCCGCCACTGGGACGATTTTCTAAAACTATAAAGCTTTCGTCTTTGGCGTAGTAGTGACTTTGTGTGAAAGTGATCCGAGAGGTACTTCATAAACGGGTGACGTCTTTTTCAGTGATGTCGATGTCATATAGCACCCAAAAAACATAATATATCGTTTTCGAAATTTTCCGCGATTACAGTACTTTCTCGCCAGTGGCGCAGGAAGTAAAAATATAATTACTACCCTCTTTGGATTTTTCTAGTGCGCATCTATTCTGTCTCTAAAGCACTATCTATTGAAGGTGATCTGTTAAGCCTCTTCAGCAATATTTTGTATTCTGAGGTAGCCTGCAGTCATAATTATAAATTTGTATATGTATATTACTCTTCTGTAAAATTATAAATATGTATACTATCCATCGACGTTTCCTATGCCATGTATTTGGTCGATTGGAATAAATTGATTATCATTATTATTATTATTATTACTCTACCATGATTGCATTCACGCATTGTCATAATTAACAAAAATTTGGAAATTTCTATATTTTTGAAACATTTTCAAAGTATTGAACATTTTTATAGCATAATAAACTTTGAAAAAATTGAAAATTGATTATTCAAGTTTCTTAAAAATGTGTCATAAGAACTGTTATAACCTATTGGGAAATGTGAAATCTTTCACTTGAAGATCACTTAAGGCTTAAGGGTACATGGTTCATTTAACATTCAGGGTTTGATCAACCCTCAATCAGCATTCAGCCATGCAGCAAACTTACTAATAATATACGTCCACATTTCACGACTTCATGAGGATCGGCCACCGTTTTGTGTTTATGCTATCCTTGATTTTCAAAAAGTACTTCTTGACATTTTTTGTAAACATTTTTGAAACTAAACCATATTTTGGATTGAAATTTTGTTCTTATAACCAGAAAAAAATGCAAAAATATGACTCGAATTTTGTTTCAGACAATACAGAAAATACAACCGATATTCATTACCGCGATTCATGCGAATTTTGTTATGGTTTGGAATTACTTCCTAAATAGAAAGTGGTACTACTAAATCTGCTGAATAACAATACCGTTGGGAGTATTCGATTGGTTTGAAGCGTTACCATTAGTAAATCGTTATTTTGAGAGTTAGTGAGATTGCTATTTGACACTTAATATCAGTGATATGAGCAGCAGAAATTGTGGAAATTTAGGCGTTCAAAGTGTAAGTTCTCAATTCTATCATACGCTTTATTTCGCATTTATTAAACATTACTTTTTGTTGCAAAATGATTGTTGGTTCAATAGGAATGATAACAAACTTTGTCGAACATTTTAGATGCGCATAATTCGTTTGACCACTACTAATTTATCGAGCGAAGCATAATATTTCTTCGATTTCATCGTCTCATCCTGCTGAAGTAACTCAAAGAACGACGCCTTCCCCACGGACTGCGAGGCGAAAATATGCTCGGCATTATTTGCTGAGGCTCCTGCGGTCCACGCCACGACTTCCACGTTGTAACTTCTTTATAACAGCCCATTCTTCTTTCACAGTAGAAATGCGAGTCAAAATGTGTTCAATAATAATTGTAGTAGGCTTCATTATATCAAAATTCGATTCATATCGCCGATTTCGGTTTATTCCCAACATCGACGTTTTCTCTAAGTTTCTTTAAAGGATCGGCGACGGTGATGTGATGTGTTGTGCTCAAGTTGTCAAATGGCGATCATCTCTTAATGGCAGCAAAGAAGTGGTCATCGTGGACACGTTTGGTCGCCCCGTGCGAGGTGAATTGTAAAGACCAGCAAACCATTTATCATGATTGTCTGCACTTAAGGCCTAGCCACTGTACATCGAGGTTACTTCGCTCTTACCATCTTGAGTTTATGCAAAAAACAATAAGATTTGACTGAAATCTAATTTTTGTTTATCCATTTCCTTTAAATTTTGTGTATACAAAAACGAAAACTAATGAAACCAACAGCGATCCGCGTTGCTAAGCATATCTGTACCTCAGAGCCAGCTAGATTTTGGTCCATTTTTGCCTTGCATTTCAAGTCCATGATAATATTGTGAACATTTTTATTCAGTTGGTGACTCGAACTCCGAAAACGAAGATAGTAGCGGAACACATTGCACGCCACTGGCCAACGCGGCATATCCTTGAGTAAGGCTGATACTCATGGTCCGAAGTTGGGGATTCAAAGGGATGCTGCGCCTGCAGTAGCGTGCGATGTGTTTTGCTGCTCTCTTCCATTTCGTTACCAGGGTACAGCAAATATAAATTCACAATATGTATTATCGTGGGCTTAACATACAGGGTGGCGCATCGAAAACGAAACAGACGCATTTATTGGCAGCTCAGTTTTTTTTTGGAAAAACGCTCAGACCCGTCGATTTTGTTTTCGAGGGGGACACAAGTTTGGCAAAAATCACGTTAACACGTGCAGCCCCCTGGGCGGGGGTGACACCAACCCTAAAATCTTAAATGGAAAGGGGGGTCGAGTGATACCTTATTTTAAAGGTCTTTCAATTCCTTTTATAATGATGTAAAATACATGAGCTTCAGTTCAGTAGTTTTGAAGATTTATTGATTTAAAGCTTAAAGTAGACTTTAATAGGTACATCAGGTTAGTTTGTACTACTTTCAGAAGAAATTTGACTCAAAGAAGTTGCTTAATAAGTAACGCTTTTCTTCACTACGCCCATGTTTTGTTTATCATTTTGTTGTTGAAAATAGCTATGGGAGCGTTTTTTTGTGGCAAAAA